CCCTTAAAATCACCCCAGAAAACAACACAAAATATTTCAAAATAGCATCAGGGAGTCTGGGAGCTTAAAGCTATCCATAGATCCATAGAGGACCCATGGTCACCACCTTATAGCCCCTGTGAGAGATGAAAGTGTCACATCGTGACTCCAGGAGTCAAATACCACAGAGCAAACCGCAATCCACATGATGCTTTTGCAGGGATGGCAAGCTCTCTGCTGAGTCTAACATCACACAGCAAATGCGCAATCCACACGGCACTTTTGCAGGGATGGCGAGCTCTCCGCTGAGTCTAACATCACACAGCAAACGCGCAATCCACACGGCACTTTTGCAGGGATGCAGAGCTCTCCGCTGAGTCTAACACCACACAGCAAACACACAATCCACACGGCACTTTTGCAGGGATGCAGAGCTCTCCGCTGAGTCTAACACCACACAGCAAACACACAATCCACACGGCACTTTTGCAGGGATGCAGAGCTCTCCGCTGAGTCTAACACCACACAGCAAACACACAATCCACATGGCACTTTTGCAGGGATGCAGAGCTCTCTGCTGAGTCTAAACCGCACAGCAAACGCACAACCCACACAGTGCTTCTGCAGGGACGGGGAGCTCTCAGCTGAGTCTACACAATCCACATGGCACTTTTGCAGGGATGCAGAGCTCTCTGCTGAGTCTAAACCGCACAGCAAATGCGCAATCCACATGGCGCTTTTGCAGGGATGGCGAGCTCTCAGCTGAGTCTACACAATCCACACAGCGCTTTTGCAGGGATGCAGAGCTCTCTGCTGAGTCTAACACCGCACAGCAAACGCACAACCCACACAGTGCTTCTGCAGGGACGGGGAGCTCCCTGCTGAGTCTAACCCCACACAGTAAATGCACAATCCACATGGCGCTTTTGCAGGGACAGGGAGCTCCTGCTGCAGCTGCTCACTGGTCTCGGGTGGTTGCCATACTGTCCTCTCTGCAAGCAGAGGTTACTGGGCAGGGCTGCCTATGATAGAAGCTGGTGTGTTACTTCTATCAATATGAAGTAACACACCAACATTTCCCACACTGAATTTTAGAACAGTCATTCAAACAGCAGAAGTCCTATGACTATCAACTGAGAATGAGAATGTCTGACTTAGCTTCTCAGTATAATTTAGAAATGACAAATTCAAGAGAACCAAAAAAAACAGAAACACTGAGAGTGAATTTGAAGCTGTTCTATGAAAACTCTGAGGGAGGCATTACAGGAAGCCCCGGGGAGACGTGGCTCACGAATGTGCCTGGGTTTTGTCCACATAAACAGTAAGGAGTGAGCTGAGATGAGCAGAGCGAAGGGACATTATTCACTGGCGACATTAGCATTATGGATCTGACACCACATGGACCCACTCATTGTCAACACTAACGAGACTGTCCATCCACCCCGATGAATCCAGATTTGTCGGGATAGAACCCTGCCAGTCCCTGACGAAGCCCTGTGCTCACTGTGCCTTCTCTGTAGATGTAGGACAGCACCACGCTCTTACCTGACGCTGGAAAAAAATCCCCCGATAATTCTGACTTGAGTTCCATCTTCAGACACACACAGAATTAGCATATTTTCAATAATTTGTTTGTTTGTTTCTTCCCAACCTTTTTTTTTTAACAATACCTTGATTAAAACAGTCACAATATCTCTCAAGGAATGCTGACCAGAAGAAAAATCCATTAGAAGTACATTTTTGGTATGCAAGCTTAAGAATTTGACTATGAAAAACAAAAATAGGTTCCTAGTTGTCCCTGTGAAATTGGTATGAGAACTCATCATCTTTGTGATCGTTATGACTTTAAACAAACCTCCAAACAAGAAACATATCTGTTTTGATTTCTGAATATTGGTGGGCTCTTTTTTTTTTTTTTTTTTTTGGAAGGGAGGAATCTGTTTTCAAAGTTTTTTTTTTAATCTATAAGGTATTTTAAAGACCACTTACTCCACACTAGCTCCTTCATAACTCAGGGCTAAAAATGATCCACAAAGCTAATGGTGCTCACACTAAGCCAGGAACCCAAGGGAACCCCTGGTCCCGTGGCCTTGCCTGCCGTCTAATGCTGAGGACCACAAAATCGGTGTCATCCCTGGCTCTCTGCACATCGGGTTGTCCCAGTGGCCCCCCAGAGTAGCAGGCACTGTACACTTGAAATGGTTATATCTTATTGCATGTGAATACTGTAATTTCAAAATTCAAAAGCCTAAGAAGGCAACATGTACAAAGCAGAACTGTTCAATTCTTTCTACTCACAGCACCTGCCTGAGGCCTACTTCCTATCTCAGGAGGAAGGCGCTTCACCCTGCATGCCCAGAGCTCCAGGCAGGCCTTGGGCTATGCCACTCAGAGTGTACTCTGCTGCCCCAGCTGGTGACTTGTCCACATGGCTAATGTCTGCCTTTAAAAAATACAGGTGACAGGCCGGGCGTGGTGGCTCAAGCCTGTAATCCCAGCACTTTGGGAGGTCAAGGTGGGTGGATCACAAGGTCAAGAGATCGAGACCATCCTGGTCAACATGGTGAAACCCTGTCTCTACTAAAAAATATACAAAAAATTAGCTGGGCGTGGTGGCACGTGCCTGTAATCCCAGCTACTCAGGAGGCTGAGGAAGAATTGCCTGAATCCAGGAGGCGGAGGTTGCCGTGAGCTGAGATCGCGTCATTGCACTCCAGCCTGGGTAACAAGCGCGAAACTCCGTCTCAAAAAAAAAAACAGGTGACAAGACACCACATCTAGTGAAACCCTGTACTGAGGTTTTAGGAAGGAGTGTTTTTCTGCAGGGATAATGGCGGCCAACAGGAGCAGGTGTTGAGGTGTTGTAAGCATCAGTACAATCACACGAGCAAGCGCCTGGCACACAAGATGCTCATAACGAATGATGTTTCTTTCTCATTGCAGGAGAGGTGCGGAGGCAGAAAACCCATGGCCATGATGGTTTGCAACTTCTCTGAGCCTCAGTTTCCTTATTTGCCAGAAGGGAGCAACTGCGGGGCTGTTGAAAATCTTAAATAGAAACAGTGCCATTATTTTATGACAAGTGTTGGCTTATTTATTCATTTATTTTGAGATAGGGTCTGTCTGTCATCCGGGCTGCAGTACAGTGCAGTGGTGCAATCGCAGCTCACTGCAGCTGACCTTAAGTGATTCTCCTCCCTGATCCTCCTCAGTAGCTCACTGCACCCGATCTTAAGTGATTCTCCTCCCTCAGCCTCCTGAGTAGTTCACTGCAGCCGACCTTAAGTGATTCTCCTCCCTCAGCCTCCTCAGTAGCTCACTGCACCCGACCTTAAGTGATTCTCCTCCCTCAGCCTCCTGAGTAGTTCACTGCAGCCGACCTTAAGTGATTCTCCTCCCTCAGCCTCCTGAGTAGCTCACTGCACCCGACCTTAAGTGATTCTCCTCCCTCAGCCTCCTGAGTAGTTCACTGCAGCCGACCTTAAGTGATTCTCCTCCCTCAGCCTCCTGAGTAGCTCACTGCACCCGACCTTAAGTGATTCTCCTCCCTCAGCCTCCTGAGTAGTTCACTGCAGCCGACCTTAAGTGATTCTCCTCCCTCAGCCTCCTCAGTAGCTCACTGCACCCGACCTTAAGTGATTCTCCTCCCTCAGCCTCCTGAGTAGTTGGGAATACAGATATGCAACACCTGGCTAATTTTTTAACAATTTTTTTGTAGAGATAGGGTCTTGTTATATTGCCCAGGCTGGTCTTGAGCTCTTGGCGTCAAGCGATCCTCACACTGTACCCTCCCAAAATGCTGGGATGACAAGCGTGAGCCACTGTGCCCAGCCAACTAATTCATTTCAGATAAAGTCCCTCATGTAGTCACTAAGTTACCAGTGTCTTAATTTCTTAAAATGAAGGCATTATAGTAACAGATCACACTGAAGACACTGCACTCCAAAGCAGATGAAGTCTGGTTATGTTATGCCTGAGGCAGGGGTTCCAGCAGAAACTGCAGGACAAAACACAGTTGATGGCAAAACCAGTTCATCACTTAAACTCTGTTTAAGGCAGTGGGCAAAAGGCCGTCCCATGAAAAACTGCTTTCAATGAGGTTAACTAGTGAATGCTTTTCCATAGGGACATGATAAAAAAAAATCAATGCAAGTTTGCGAAACACAATCATACATGCTTTCAAAAGTCCGCTTAGTTGAAGTTAAGACACCAAAGCTCTCCTTGAATTTGGAATAAAGAAGATTCACTCTCCAACCTGCATATCCCTTTGTAACAGACAATGAGAGCTTGTCCACACCCAGCGTTTCTCCTCTTGCTGTGGCTGAATGAAAAGCTTACATTACATTACATCTAAGATGAAAGCTTATCTAAAAGTTCCCATGCATGGTGTTTTAAAAATTGTTCTACAATTTAGGGGAAGAGGCCAAAAGTGAATAAAACTTAGCCAGTCGTTATTTGGATTTTTTTTAAATGAAGAGATTTTTACACTAAGATTAGAATCCGTGGTCTGAACAAGGTGTGGTAATGGTAATCAGAAATCATGTGCAACGGTGCGCCATTTCCAAAGCATTCTGCAATTTCTCATTTCACCTTGCGAAGTTCATGGTCAAGTAATGCCACCATGGGGAAACTGAGTAAAGAAATCGCAGCGCTGCCTGGCAGTGCAATCAGATGAGCGCAGAGCCGAGCTGGAGTCACCACTGCCTCAGGCTCCACGGCTGAACAGACAAGCACTGACGTCCCCATCTGGTTAACAGGAAACGCAAAACTGAGCTCAGTGGACCCGGAAGACAGAATCCACTCCTGACCAGCCAGGTGCATGACCAGGACCCGAAGAAGCCCCAACCGCACGTGGGACAAGTCAGAGACTAGCAGCCAACTGGGCCACGTTAGCCAGACGGCAGAAGATTCTGAAGATCAGATCACCCCTACAGATTGACCGCTGTAAGCCCTAGGCCTGCAGATGTCAGTGCTTACGCTGGCTCCACGGCTGGCACGAACGCGAGAGAAGTGTCACTTACTTGGTTTCGCGTTAGCAACCACGGCCAGGCTCTCAGGCGGGTGCACGGCGAGGTGCCTGCTGTGCTCACTCGCGCCAGGGCTGCTGCCGTACTCAATGGCATCCACGTGTCCCAGTGGAACGCTCCACTTCAGCAAATACCTCTGGCTGCTCATCACACGGCTGTCATGCGAGGGGCTGAAAGGACCAGAAGATCCTTGCTTTATAAATAATTACATGACCACGTTACAGTAATGTTCATCCCTCAGATATTCAAGTCGGAAACATTTCCATTGCTGAGTTGCAGCTCTTCAGGCTTTCTCAACATTATAATTGTGCTTCCGACTTTCTTACAATCCCCACTCATTGCCATAATGAGGCATCTAAGTGGATGGGAGAGGGTGCAGGGACGGCCACACAGGGACGGATCTCCCCTGGCAAACTCCGAGGTTTTCCGTAAAAGCTTAAAAGGAAGCAGCTCAGCACTCACTGAGGACTCTGAGCAAAGGTGCTCGATTACCAGGAAAAGTATCCTATGTGGATAGAGATATTCTCTGGTGGCTTCATAAGAGTTAACTCTCAAATTCCTTCTTTATTCTTTTATGGTTACACTGTAACCATTTTAGTATAATCAAATCATATCATATCACTATACTCCATGACTAAAATACGAATCAAGTATAAAGAAATTAAACAGAAAAAAACCCTGACATATAGATTATTTTTTCTTTTATCATAAACAGAACACATATGCAAAGAAACACAAAACACATATGTATAGTCTAGTGGAAACAGTCTGCATCTACATCTGTGTAGCTGCTACCAAGGTCAAGGCTGTGACATCACAGCATCCCTGCAGCCCCAGGCCACCCGCCCTCCAGAATCGACCATTATTGTCACTTGGTGATAATCACGCTTTGCTTTTCTCCAAGATATTGCTGTTAAAAATCAAAACATGGGTAAGAATAACTGAAATGCTGGGTGTGACGCATTAGACAGAGCACCTGACTTGCTGAGAGCCGGTCTGTGCCCAGGTTCTCTAGTTCCCTCTGACACCAGAGCATTCTACCCTCCAGGACAACGTCCAGTGCATACAGAAAGGGAAGGAGGAAGAACAATTCAGACACAGTAAGAGGAGAGAGGGGCTGTGTTCTGTGAATTAGACTGTGCCTCCAACTCAGAAAAAAACAAATGCCCATGAATTCTTACCAACATTTCGATTCCTCCTCTATGAACGTAAAAATCTCCATCCCTACAGAGGAGGTTTAGAAGCTTAATTTCCACAGGGCTGATCAAAGGGTCCTTGGGGGCTATTTGAACCAAAATAAGTCCTTATTTCATCACCTTTGGCCATTATCACTGAAAGTCTCACACTGACGATCTCACACTGACAACACGCCCATGGGAAATGAATTGTCACTCAGTAACGCACTTTGCAATAAATTGACAATCTCACAATCGTCCATGGGAAATAAATTGTCACTCAGTAACGCACTTTGCGAAAAAATTCAAGCCCTGGCATCCGTGGGAAAGGCAGGGGCATTATTTCGAGGAATCCTCCAGGGGTAAGCACAGTTGAGTTACTTCTAAAGTATCCATTTTTATTCATCTTTAAAGTACACCACTTCTGTCAGCATGAGAATTTTAAACCTACCTAAAACTGCACCAGAACCAAGTGTGTCCCGGCATTTTCCAGAAGCAGCCCGGGGGGTTGCAGAGCACAGTCAGCGTTAGAGAAACACTGATTAGAAATGTGGAAAAGACTAAACAAGGACCATTATATTCACTCAGGGCTTTTACAAGGTCATTTCGCTTCTGAGATCTTGTCTCCCAGGGCAGGTGGGACAAGCATTAATTTCCCCAACTTGACACACTGCGTTGGCCAATGTGCAGGTGAGAGCTGGGTGCATTCAGCCAGGCCTGAGGCCGCTTCACTGAAAACTAACTTTCCAGGTGTTACTCGGAGAGGGGGTTTCTGGGACAATTAAACTTGGAAGTCATCCTGTGAAGTGATAAATGCCATTAGTCTCCACCCAGCGGGAAGCACCTCATAACACTGGAGAAACGGGTAGAGACAGCTTACTCTGCGTCCTCGAAATTCTGAGCACTCTCTCAAGCAGCCCACGCCTGGAGTTCTCTGGCCATGACCTCCCATGGCCTCTCTCCATCAGCTCCTCTCCAACGCAGGGTGCAATGGGCTTCACTTCTGCACACGGAACGCAGTTGGCCTGCGGCTGTCACCAGGCATCAACAATGAAGGCTGAGCCATGGGTATGAGTCAAATGAACAGGGTTGTTTCTCTTATAAGGCGTGTCATTAAAGACTTGTGTAGTTTTTGGGCTTATTTTGTAGCTGCCACAAAGTAAGTGAGGATGAAGAGAAGCAACAGTGAAAACCTGCTACTCCTGGGCAGTGCTGTGCGCCCAGCGCCCTGCAGCAGCTTAATGAACCTGAAGCTCCTCGCCTGACCCCTGAGAGCCCTGTGGCAGCATGCCACTGGCACCATTATTTTCATGATCAACCCTATCGTTATGGATGAGGAGTCGGAGGCATAGACAGAATGGGTAGTTTTCAGATTTCAGAGAAGGTGGAGTTGGAGATCATGCTCAGGAGTCCAAGTGAGCTCTCGCCTACTGACCTGCACATCCTGGCTGCCTGGGCCATTAAGGCCAGGTGAGGAGGGCGGCAGATACATCTGGCAGCTGGAAAATGGGGGTGACGAGCATGAAAAATAAGTCATATTTAGTGGTGTGCTGGCAAATGTTTAAAACCAGCTCTCGCTGGGAGGTCGGGCTCCCAACACATCCTGTTGGCCAAATTCCATGGTGTAAATACTCCGGTGTGACTTCAAGCTACCAAATGCTTTAGCAACCGACTCTCCAAACTCTGGAAAATCCAACACTTGACTCTTGCGCGACATAACAAATTGGCACCACATTCACTTGCATTATTTTCTGCGGTACCAGGAGGTTATAGTTAATTTTATATCAACTCTCTTATCATCTACCTATATTTGAGGATGCTTTAGCTTCTTGTGTATCCTCATCTAACTACAATATTCTGTGTGTTGGAGAACGAGTCTGTGAAACTATTATGAGGGAAAAGAACGGAGAAAGTGCTACTGATTTTCTTGGTTTACAATAAAATGAATATACCCAACTTTATTATATTTAAACATTTACCAAAATCACATTTATAGAGAAGCAGGTAAAGAGAGAATTTAAGCCATAAGAAAAAGAACTCTGGAATGATTTAGGAGGGTTAGGAAGAAATTCGACTTTGTTTCTAGTTTCAGCATCAGCCCTGTTTAAAAAGTAACTAAGCCTATACGTATCTAACTTCTACTAGCAGTGACTTGGTGACTTACACTGAGTCTATTTTAAAGTAAGCTTGCTTATTGTAAGGGTTCCCTTAGTCACAGGACTAAGCTTTTGCACAAAACCCAGTTCAGTCTGAGTGACAGAATTAACAGTCATTCACGTGTCCCCAGACAAATGTAACATATGACGGTAAGACTGCTCTGGAGAACTGAAGGCTCTCTTACCGTGAGCTGACTGTGGCACACATCAACACATCATTCAACATGAAGAGTCGGCGCTCTTTGGTTTTAACAATCTCTCCTCTGTCGTTGTAAACCGTTTCTATCATATCATCCGACCGAATGAGGTATCGGTTTCCACTGCTGAGAAGCTGAGCATTCAAAGCACAACGCAGGGGCCACAGATGAGTTTACCCAAAAAAGAAAAAGATGACGAAAACTCGTGTGTGAGTCTGAGGGTGACTTTTCCAAACTGAACGCTCTACAGACACCGTTCCTACGTTCACCGTGGCTGCACTGAGCACTGACCTCCTTCCTTCCACACTTCCACCGCAGTCGGCCCTTCTGTGATTTACAACACTTACATTAACCAGAACAGTGAGGAATGGAAGGAATGATTTTGTCATTTTACTTTTCCCCAAGTAAACCTAATTAAGCAAACATAATTAAACGACCATCTTAACTTCTTAAGGTAGGCCACATTTTACTTCACTAAGCCAAACAAAACCATCGGTTCTTCAGAAAGACGCTTTGTGTGAGTCAAACCGGCATGAGGTGATGGAAGTGATGCAGAAGGTCATACTACTTCTTTTTTTGTTTCTTTCTTTTGACACAGAGTCTCACTCTGTCACCCAGGCTGGAGTGTAGTGGCATGATCTCAGCTCACTGCAACCTCCCAGGACCTCCTGGGTTCAAGTGATTCTCCTGCCTCAGCCTCTCGGGACCACAGGTCCAAGCTATTCTGTTTGGACCACACCAGGCTAATTTGTTTCCTTTTGTATTTTTAGTAGAGACGGGGTTTCACTATGTGGTCAGGCTGGTCTGGAACTCCTGACCTCAAGTGATCCACCCACCTCGGCCTCCCAAAGGGCTGGGATTACCTGCGCGAGTCACTGCACCCAGCTAATATTTCTGTGACAATTCAGCCCACAAGAAAACAGAGTCCTCAGCCCTGGTGGCCTTTTTATTCTAAATCTACGCTGCGGCTCAGCTTCGAGCCACTGCAGACGCCCGCCTCCCTGACTGTCCTTGCCAAGCACTCGGGAAGGATGAGGCGTGGCATGACACTCGGTGTGCTACATCATCGCTCCTCCTGGGCCTCTGCGCTTGCCTGTGCCCCACGTGTATTTGGTTCGAGTGCTACAGGGAGCACGATTTCAAATAACATCAACCACGTCAAGAACATGACTGAATGCGACTTGCGGCTTATAAATGTTCCTACATAAATCATTTGAAGAATTAGGGAAAACGTGGCTTAACATGTATTACCATAAAGTTCGCAGTTAAATTACCGAATGTTATTGTAACAGCGGAAACTACTCCTAATGACAAAACAAAAAATGATTTCAGCAACAATGAGTATCACATATGACAACTTAACACAGTTCATACAAATTACCATCTCCCTGTGAGCCCGGGCCTTAAACGCACATGGGAAAGCCCACATAAAATCAGAGTGCTGTGGCAGGCAACGAGTTACGTGAGCATAAAGCCGAACGAAGCCTCGCAAATGAACTGCTGCCCTCTGTGTCCTGCATCTCTTTTCATGGTACATACAGCTTAGCCCACGCACAGGTGAAGACAAAAAGTGTTTGTATTTTTTTTTTTTTTTTGAGACAGGGTCTTGCTCTGTCACCCAGGCTGGCGTGCAGCAGTTCAGTAACAGCTCACCACAGTCCGAACCTCCCCAACTCAAGCAATTCTCAGGCCTCGGCCTCCCAAGTAGCTGAGACTATAGGTACACACCACTGCGCCCATCTAACTTTTTTCTTTTTTTTTTTTAAGATATAGGGTCTTACTATCACACCCAGGCTGGTCTCAAACTCCTGGGCTCCAGCAACCTTCCCACCTCGGCCTCCCAAAGTCCTGGGGTTACAGGTGTGAGCCACTCCGGCCAGCCTGTAAAGACCTTCAGCTCTAACTATTACTATCTGAAATTAAATACAAAATTTTGAAAGCAAAATTAAGCTCAAAGAGTTGCTCTTAACCTCTTGGGGGGTCCTGGATCCATTTGAGGGTCTAAGGAAAGCATGAATTTCTTTCCTAAAAAAGCGCAGACAGGTTGTGAAGGTTTTACACACAATTTCCATGTTGATGCGACTCCACCCACCCCACTTAGGAATTCTGGGCCAAGAATGACTCCAGACCACCCCAAAGATTAGTACTGCTGGATAACGAGGGCTCGTTAGTACAGAGCGAACATAATGTTGCCGCAGAGCTGGAAAAGCCTGTCGACCTTGTTCAGGTATCTCTCATTGATGGCTTTTGCGATCTGCTTCATTTCACAGCGCTGATCGGCATCTCTTTTTCTTTCATTTAATTTCTCTGCTAGTGTTTCGAGCTCTGTCAAGGCCATCTGCAGCGGCAGCCTGTCGGGATGGCCTTTGGAGGTGTTCTTCAGCATGTCCTGCGGGCAACAGGGGAGAGGTGGGCAGTTACCAAGTGCACACTTCCAACGCAACGACAGTCGTGACACCCACCGGCTGGCAACTGGAAAGGAGGCCGTGGCATCCGTCATCCTGGGGAAAAATAAAGTCAGTTCTTGGGAAGGGATGACGAGCTGAGTGAGTCACGACTTGGCTGAACATCTGAACAGCTTCCTTTGCAAAAACAAAATTAAAAAAAAAACAGCACTGTACAATAAAGGACATGCTAAATATGCAGATGCCACAATCTCAGAAATGCTGTGCCCTTGGAACGATGCTCGCGGTGCTGACAGACTGTCCTTCTCAAGCTGAGTCAGACAGATGAACCCATGTGTAGATGGGCCCAGCTCCTTTCTTCAAAAGACCAGTCTCCCAATTTCCAATGCGCAGGAGTTCCGTGCTGCTGAGCACTGCGCCCCTGGTGTCAACTCACAAAGCAGGATCGAGTCTCTCTCACACTGACAAAGGAACCTGATTTTAGGGCAGCAAAGACACAGCACAACACTACAATAGTGAGGCCACATCACTAAACGTTTGTCCCACCGAATGCACAGTAAAGGGGCACACCCTCCTGTGACTGTGGCCACGTGGCCACACAGGCTCCTGATTGTTACAAATGCACCCTGGCGAGGACGTGGGGGCAGGGGAGGCTGTGTGTGTTGGGGGAGGGGTAGATGGGAAATCTCTGTACTTCCCACTCAATTTTGCTGGGAACCTAAAATTTCTCTTGAAAAGTAGCCTGTAAAAAAAGGAAGCTGAGCTACCTCCCTTCTCCTCGTTCCGGTTTCAGATAAGGAGGAAGTCGAAGGGAGCAGACACGGCACAAGTCAACAGGTCACCGAAAAATGACACACTGCTGCCAATCACCAGATAAACTTTAAAGGACACTTTTGTCACCTTGATTTTATGCAGGGCCTTTTGTTTCCCAGCTTGCGTTCACATTGGACATGCTGACGTTTGCTAAAGGGGCAACATGAACTTGAAACACTCTTTCTCAGAATTAAATGTGGTTCCACAGTGAGAACACATGGACACAGGAAGGGGAAGATCACACACTGGGGTGGTCAGGAGGTAGGAGGAGGGGAGGGAGGGCATTAAGACAAATACCTAATTCATGCTGGGCTTAAGACCTAGACGATGGGTTGGTAGGTGCAGCAAACCACCATGGCACAGGAAGGGGAAGATCACACACTGGGGTGGTCAGGAGGTAGCGGGGGGGGGAGGGAGGGCATTAAGACAAATACCTAATTCATGCTGGGCTTAAGACCTAGACGATGGGTTGGTAGGTGCAGCAAACCACCATGGCACAGGAAGGGGAAGATCACACACTGGGGTGGTCAGGAGGTAGGAGGTGGGGAGGGAGGGCATTAAGACAAATACCTAAATCATGCTGGGCTTAAGACCTAGACGATGGGTTGGTAGGTGCAGCAAACCACCATGGCACAGGAAGGGGAAGATCACACACTGGGGTGGTCAGGAGGTAGGAGGTGGGGAGGGAGGGCATTAAGACAAATACCTAATTCATGCTGGGCTTAAGACCTAGACGATGGGTTGGTAGGTGCAGCAAACCACCATGGCACAGGAAGGGGAAGATCACACACTGGGGTGGTCAGGAGGTAGGAGGGAAGGGAGGGAGGGCATTAAGACAAATACCTAAATCATGCTGGGCTTAAGACCTAGACGATGGGTTGGTAGGTGCAGCAAACCACCATGGCACAGGAAGGGGAAGATCACACACTGGGGTGGTCAGGAGGTAGGAGGGAAGGGAGGGAGGGCATTAAGACAAATACCTAAATCATGCTGGGCTTAAGACCTAGACGATGGGTTGGTAGGTGCAGCAAACCACCATGGCACAGGAAGGGGAAGATCACACACTGGGGTGGTCAGGAGGTAGGAGGGAGGGAGGGAGGGCATTAAGACAAATACCTAAATCATGCTGGGCTTAAGACCTAGACGATGGGTTGGTAGGTGCAGCAAACCACCATGGCACAAGTATACCTAGGTAACAGACCTGCTTGTTCTGAACACGTACCCCAGAACTCAGAGTAAAAAAAAATAAAATGTGCTTCTGAATCTTGCCCACCAACTTTTACGCATTTATGGGAATATTAGCAGTCACGGAATTCAACAGTGTGCGTATCTTTTTAAGATTTTTTTTTTTAATCTAGAAAGAAAGCTGCATAAATGATCAAACGTTCCGTTTGTAGTGAGTATAAACTATTCTATACATTTGTTTTCCTGTGAGTCGCAACAAATTCTATCAAGACAAAAAAGAACAATCTTAACACTAGTTCTGCACCAAAACCACACGCTGGTGGTGGCACAGCACGCCATGGTGAGAGCGGCCGGCACACAGTGGAGCCCAGCATGCCATGGGGCCACTAAGCACAGCTGGTGATGTTCAATGAGCTGGCAGCCTCCACGAGGGCACACACTGGGGACTTGGCATGCAATGATGAGAGCAGCTGACACAGGGTGAAGTCCAGCATGACACGGGTCCGCTGAGCACAGCTGGGGGCATCCACCAGACCAGCAGCCTCCAGGAGGCCACCCACGGAAAGAGAAAAGTTAAGTTTCTCGCTGCTGTTGTTACCAGAAACTGTTACTTATCTTTGCACAACAACAGAGAGAAAAACGTAGCTGGGATAAAGTAAGACAAATGTCACAGGGCCAATGGATGTTTCTGGATCCATGGGAGAAACTGACAGCCCCAACAAAGCCAGGGAGAGCCCGGCTTCACTGCCTGAGCCAGGGACAGCTGCGGCTTCACAGAGCCCGTCTTAGAAGGTCTGGGACCCCTAAGCAGGAAAAAAGCAGGTAGGACCAGAGGGCAGAGACCAGGAGAGTGACTGGGAGGAAAGGGACAGAGGGTGTCCAGGCCCCTCCACACTGTCTCTCCATCCACCCGTGCCCAGCACATGGACCACAGCAGAAGGCAGGAGGGAGGGTGTGTGCTTGCACCTGCTGACTCTTCCGTAGTCCGTCACCTCACCCAATCCCAGGTACCCTGAGCACCCACACTTGAGGGAGGGCCCCTCAGGCACATCCAAGTAATTATTCCAGACGCAGACCCCGCCTTGTCTCCAACTCCAACTGAGCTTCTTCCAAAGTACCTTCTTCCAAAGGGACCCACCCTACTCCCCTCCAAGGACACTCTAGGATACACCAGCCTTTCATTGAATGTGAGCAAAAAAATGTCCCTGAGGGAAAAGTGCTCGGCATATCTAGGACCTGCCATTCGCTTCCTCAGATCAAGAAGAAGCCCATTTGCTGCTTCAGGGCAATGACCCTGTGTGAGAAATTCTAAGGGGGTCTCTCAATCAAGGACGGAGCGGGAAGGGAACGGCTGTGCGCAACTGACCTGGGTCACTCTCGCTGACCATCCAGAAGAGCACGTTCAATCTTTTTAAATACGAGTCTTTTTTACACCCAAGTTCTAGAGTTCATTATATACCTGGAATTTGGAGTGTAAGAATGTTCTTCCTCAGAGAACTCACGTGTTTAGAAGTATGTGTTTCAAAAAGAAGAGACTGCACAAAATTCCTCAAGAACGGATTTGTAAACTGCGCAGCGGGTAACGGGTGGGCCGTGCCTGCCTAATTGTGCATTTCTGCGGTGTTCCCTCCGCTGCTCTCGCCGAAGTCCCAGCCGGCATCCTTCCGGGGTGTGGACAACCGTGTTAGAATCCCAGCGCTCCTATCAGGCTGTGTCACCAGCTTCCCTAAACCTCAGCTTGTAATGCATAAAAAAGGAGAATGACCTCCCCAAGGGGGGCTGAAGGCAGATGGAAACAAGCTGTTCACAGCTCCGCAGGATGGTGGTGGAGGCTTTTCCCTGCAGCTCCCTCTCCTGTTCCCTTTCCAACAGCCCTGCCCACACCCTCTGTCTAAAAGAACGTATACTGGAAAACACCCAGGCAAAAGGTTTGTAGTTATTTACTTACGTTTAGCCAAAACCTAACAAGCTCATTTGAAAGGTATATCCAAATTTAATAAATTTAAACGTTTAAAAAAGTATTCTGATACATCATAGAAAGCCAACAACATGTGTGACCTCACAACACAGTCAGTGCTTGCTGTCGCCTCTGGCGACCGGGAGTGACTCCAGCACTCCCTGGCTAAATTCAGGGTGTGTGGTTTAAACACAGGGCTTGCAGGCAGATTCACCTCGCATGGGTTAGGAGGCCACTGCAGCCTTGCATTTGGTCCCTTCACAGACTGGTGACAACCTCCCAGCTGTGGCTGAATAACTGACGTCTAACAGGCAGCCGACCCACCGTCCTCCCAAGCATCAGCCTCCCTCACTGTGAGGAAGCTCATTCCTCACATCTGTGGCTGCTTGTCGGAAGCTAACAGCGTCTCACACGTATTAGAACTCAGTAAATAGTTGTCAGCTGAAGAAATAAAACACACTTGAATATTTTGATTTTAGGAAAAAAACAGCTTTGGTTATTAATGCTCTAATACAGGTAAACTGTATATTGTTAAAAATATAAGTGAGAGGATAAAATTCATATGACCCATAAACCTAACCACGGAAAGACCCATTCAAGTGTGCCCTTTTTCATACTTTTATTTAAAAAGCCTGTGTCACAGATTCGGTTGGTCAAAAATAAAAATCTCGGTGGATGGGGACTTCACACTATTTCCCAGGTGCCAGTCCATTTCTGGCGATGATTCCACCCGTTTATCTTCAATCAACTCTAATAAGCAGGCAGGCGAAGCAAAGTCCTCTGATTTAATTAGAAAAGCAAGCTGAGTTATCACTGAAAAATCAGCACAGGCAGAGGCCAGCATGGGCTCTCCTTTGAAATAGCCTCCCTGGAGGCAATGGCATTCATTTAAATAAAATATGTGCTGAGCTCGCAGCCTACAGAGTCACCTGGGCTCCAGGGTATGTAGGAAGGTTGGACAATGAACCGGCAACTCCACACCACATCAGACATGACCCACGTCATATCAGCATTCCAAACCGGCTTATGGTTCACAGCCCCGAGGTATCTAATCGAGAATCCTTCGAGGGTCCAGTGGAAAATGTCTTTACCATGGACGCCTCTCCCTGTCCTCGGGTGATCTGCTGTTAAGTCAATGACAGGTATGTTTTGTTTAAATCTATTCTTAGCTTTCCAAGCCCATTCGTCCCCTCTGGGCACAGAAGGGAGAGTCATTTTTCATGTGATTCTAGACCAGATACAGGCACACTGGAGAAGGGAGCTGTGACCTGTGGCCCCCCAGTGCTAGTTCCCCATGAGACAGTACATGTGGCAAGCCAGGGCCCGCAGGCCCCCTTCCCGCAGCCCATCCACTCTGTCCCCCAACGCTGGCCTGTGGGCACTGGGCCTGCAGCTGCCCCTCCTCCCCCACTTTGACTCTCCACAAATTTCCCATCTGCCTCTGCCCCAACCCCTGTAACTGCCTGGAGAGGAGATAGGGAAGCCTGAGGGGCAGCCACTCTGAAGTGGAGGAACAGACACCATTTTCGTTCTTTCTTTTTTTTTTTGAGACAGAGTCTCACTCAGCTCAGTTGCCAGGTGCCAGGCTGGAGTGCAGTGGCATGATCTCGGCTCACTGCAGCCTCTGCCTCCCGGGTTCAAGCAATTCTCCTGCCTCAGCCTCCCGAGTAGCTGGCACTACAGGCGTGTACCACCACGCCCGGCTAATTTTTGTATTTTTAGTAGAGACAGGGTTTCACCACGTTGGCCAGGATGGTCTCGATCTCTTGACCTCATGATCCGCCTGCCTCGGCTTCCCAAAGTGCTGGGATTACAGGCGTGAGCCACCGCGCCCGGCCCCAGACACCATTTTCAAATGAATGGTGAAGCACTTACCTGGAGCAGGAGGATGAACTGCGGGAACCTCTGGATGGGCTTCATCATCAGGCTGTAGAGCGTGGTTCGGTCAGGGCTGGCCTCCTGTTCCTGCTGTGGGGAAAGGTGCCAGGATCACCTCCCCGCCCCTGGGGCTGCCTCCTCCCCACCATGCTGAACACTTGGGTAAATTGAAAGCCTGCACCTTGTCTTCAGCTACAAGAAGAAACTCGGCCAAATGGGGGCTTCTGCTCTTGCTGCAGGTCCCGGGGCCTCACACCTCGGCCTCAGCCCCGGAATGAGTTCTCTGGGCCAGGGACTGGGCTGATTCCAGGGGTGATCCTGGGTGTCTGTGTTCTGGCCACAGTGGGCCCTCAGAAAAGGCTGGCAACCTTTTGTGGTGCCCTGGGCAGAGGGACGTCCTGGAGGCTGAGGGTTCCTCTTCTGAGTGTGTTGGGGATGTGCACTGGGACCATGTGCTACCTGGGGCTGTTGGGCCATGCTGACCTGGGGGCGGTCTCCACTTCCCTCTGCTGAGAGGCCACGAAGTGTAGGGGGCAGACAGCACAGATCTAGCTGTGCCCCAGTCTGTCAGCTCACAGGGCACCCAGCTCTTTGGGGCTCGGGTCCTGGAGCTATGAAATGGGGTGAGTGAGTCTATCTCCCAAGGCCATGTGGCAGCCGGTGAGTTGAGGAATGGGCACTGCGGTCACAGCCATGGCTGATACCCTTAGTGGGACTACAGCAAAATCCCCAGAGGGAGGGAGCTTGAGCCCGTGTTTTCTTTCCCCAAGAGAAAGAAATGCTTCCCTAGCCAAAAGACAGAGCCCACAACTCTCCAGAGTGGGAACTGTAACCTGATCCCTTAGCAAACCTTGTGGAAAATGTGACCCAATCCCTTAGCAAACCCTAGTGGGCCACAGACTGTGCTCTGGCAGGGGCAGGAGCCACAGAGCTGAATAAGGCAGAGGGAAAATACTCCAGCTTCAACAAAACTTTGTTGGGGTGAGAACACTTGCCCTGTTGGGGTGAGAACACTTGCCCTGTTGGGGTGAGAACACTTGCCCTGTTGGGGTGAGAACACTTGCCCTGTTGGGGTGAGAACACACGCCCTGTTGGGGTGAGAACACTTGCCCTGTTGGGGTGAGAACACTTGCCCTGTTGGGGTGAGAACACTTGCCCTGTTGGGGTGAGAACACTTGCCCTGTTGGGGTGAGAACACACGCCCTGTTGGGGTGAGAACACTTGCCCTGTTGGGGTGAGAACACTTGCCCTGTTGGGGTGAGAACACACGCCCTGTTGGGGTGAGAACACTTGCCCTGTTGGGGTGAGAACACACGCCCTGTTGGGGTGAGAACACTTGCCCTGTTGGGGTGAGAACACTTGCCCTGTTGGGGTGAGAACACACGCCCTGTTGGGGTGAGAACACTTGCCCTGTGTTCACTCACTCCAGGTAGCAGCAGTTTCCAAGAAACAGTCCAAGAAACAAGGACACGCTTTGTCCCCGGGTTTTATCATGCAAATGAGGGGCTCCACAAAGGAGACTCAGCTCCCGGACAGCTTTGAAGGGGTTTCAGTCTGGTTCACTGTGCAGCCAACCATCAGAACACAGCCTCGGACATGCAGTTCGTGACAGGGAAAGCCCCGCCTACCTGCTGATTAAATAACGCTCGCGCACACCCACCAGGGGACAGGCTCCCATCAGTGCCAGGTCGGAGACACTGAGGAGGACCATCGGCCTGTCCCCAACATTGGAAGGAACACAGCCCTTGGGCAGGGCCCATTCTAGCTCTGACTCTCCAGGCCTGTGCCTGTCCCCTGATCCCAAAGAGGCCAGAATCCAGATATTTGGTTTCTTTTATTCCTCGTATCACACTGAACAGGAAAAAAAGGTAACTTTGGGATCTGACCTTAACTTTCTTTCTACTGATACACTTTTACAGATGTGCAAATAAAATTGTTTTCTTTTCCTTTTTCTTTTTTTTTTTTTTTTGAGACGGAGTTTCGTGCTTGTTACCCAGGCTGGAGTGCAATGGCGCGATCTCGGCTCACCGCAACCTCCGCCTCCTGGTTCAGGCGATTCTCCCGCCTCAGCCTCCTGAGTAGCTGGGATTACAGGCACGCGCCACCGTGCCCAGTTAATTTTTTGTACATTTTTTAGTAGAGATGGGGTTTCACCATGTTGACCAGGATGGTCTCGATCTCTTGACCTTGTGATCCACCCGCCTCGGCCTCCCAAAGTGCTGGGATTACAGGCTTGAGCCACTGCGCCCGGCCTCTTTTCCTTTTCCTTTTTGTTTTTTTGAGATGGAGTCTTGCTCTGTCAGCAGGCTGGAGTGCAGTGGTGTGATCTCAGCTTATTGCAACCTCTGCCTCCCTGATTCAAGGGATTCTTCTGCCTCAGCCTCCCAAGTAGCTGGGATTACAGGCACGCACCACCACGCCCAGCTCATTTTTTGCATTTTTAGTAGAGATGGGGTTTCACCATGTTGGCCAGGATGGTCTAAATCTCCTGACCTTGTGATCTGCCCTCCTCAGCCTCCCAAAGTGCTGGGATTACAACCGTGAGCCACCATACCTGGCCTAATATTGTTTCAAAAAGCTACATTAGGAACTAAAATTCACCTTCATTTCTAGCATTAATCCAATACCTAGGGCACTATTGGTAGTGAAATCTTAATAATGAATAACTGTATTTAGAGCCAAGGTTTGACATGGAACTTATCCGATGGTATTGAAATCCAAATGAACAAACAAATGTGCTTACCTTTAAAAATTCAAGAAAAGCAGGCTTTGTAGCACATGTTTTCTTGAGGACTGCCACGGCTGTGCTGAAATTGTTCACATATTCACTGTATGCATCCAGCACCATGGATTTAGAAAACTGAAACATGGGAGGAAATTCAGAGAGAAATCAAAGAATCCAGATACCCCTTTTCCAACATAAAACAGAAGATTTGCAACTCACCCTTAAAATACTCTTTCAGTCACTGTGATGTTTTCATAGGATAGACTTTATTATGACTGTGTGATCTTTTTCATTTAAGCAAGCATGTTGTTTAAATGGTTGCTTAAGTTGCTGGTTTGATCTCACTTTCTTACCCAGTGTACTTTCAGACATCCTTCTTTAAAACCGTGGTAAATGGGTTTCAGTTAAGAATGTTTCTGACTGCAGACAAGTAAGGATGGCGATTACCGACAACCTGCCTTAAGTTCTTGCTAAGTCTCACTTGGTGGGTTCAACCCCCAGGTAAGAATGTCATGCAGGCCGGGCGCGGTGGCTCACGCCTGTAATCCCAGCACTTTGGGAGGCCGAGACGGGTGGATCACGAGGTCGAGAGAGGGAGACCATCCGGGTCAACATGGTGAAACCCCGTCTCTACTAAAAATACAAAAAATTAGCTGGGCATGGTGGTGCGTGCCTGTAATCCCAGCTACTCAGGAGGCTGAGGCAGGAGAATTGCTTGAACCCAGGAGGCGGAGGTTGCGGTGAGCCGAGATCGCGCCATTGCACTCCAGCCTGGGTAACGAGCGAAACTCCGTCTCAAAAAAAAAAAAAAAATGTCATGCAGCTCATTCCATGATGGGCCCAATATTCTGAAAAACAGGAGCTGGGGGTGGGGGACTGATCCCGCTTCTTTACCATAAGGTACAATGCCCCACACATGTTCATTTTCCTAAAAGCACAAAGGTTTTCTATCAGGAGGCAGAAACAGTGGCCCTTGGTATCAATATTCAAAGAGAGAAAAATCCTTCCATGTTGTTCTAAGAAACATAAATCCTTCAGGATGGACGGCAGAGCTCTGGGGTCATGGGCATTGATAGCAGGAATGCTTTTATCAAAATCTATTTAAAGAAAAATCTGTTTGCATTTTAAAAAATGTTGGCAAGGTAGGTATTTAAAGGACAGTGACAAGGTTCAAACTAATATATATAAAATAGCCACAAAAAGTAATAATAAAATAAGTATCCAATATTTCTCTTGCTTTCTAAGGATCCATAAATGGTATTATGCAAATATCTTTGTAAGAATTTTGTTTCCATATTTATTCAAAGCATTTACCGAACTCATCAAGTACATACACAAACGTCGTAGGAAAACATTTCACGGGTTATTAGTCTAGCATTCATTTAAGTAGAGGAATGATTTTTTTAAACTTGCAAGTTTATATCCCTTTCATAGCATCATAGTCTTAAATAATTACAGAAATCGATCTGTTTATAATCCTACAGCTAGGTAGAATTCCAACCAATATATAGTAAGTATGATCACATGATGCATGTAGCGTGGATAAAATGACTCAAAACTGCCAATGCAGAAATCAGCAGCGGCTTCCAGGCAGCTCGCCCCGTCTGCCGCCCAGGAAGTGTCAATGCAAGATTCCCGTGTCACAGCACAGAGCCGACTGCCTGCATCTACACAACAGAAACTACAGCCAAGGGCAAAAGTCTGAGAAAACATCTAGGAGGTTTCCCATCACACGTTGTCTATTTTTCCCAGGCAGAGAGAAATCTGCACCCGGAAAGTGAGACCTAGATCAGGAAGAGAACCTGTGTGAGGGCTTAAAAACGGCAATTTTACAAGATTACCAAACACACAGCATCCTTGCTCAACCACAAGCTTTAACAAATCATCTAATGGGGCACCCAAGACTTGATAAAGTGCATACTTTTCAGTCTCCCCAGATACAGCTTGTGTCCTGAGTGTCTGCATTTTTGCCTTGGTCTCCCTGGGAAATATCCATTTATCATTTCCCTAGCACACACATTTGGCCAGGGCACTGCAACTTCAGCCTGGCCTTCCCAGAGAACCGCACACTTGTCAGTTTACAGGAGCTTGGGGCAAAACATCAGCCTAAGAAGGGAAGAGAGGATGCATGCATGGAGAGCCCCAGGGACATCTGGGTGTCCCGGCTTAATTACCGAAGCCACGAAGACGTCGCCGATCATTTCCACGGAGTCCCACTCGGAAACGCGGCTGGCCAGCGCAATCTGAAACAGTGAGTGGCACTGCAGGATCTCTTTGACTCGGTAGAACACTGTCTTCAGCTTCCTCTCACTCAAAACCTTTGGCTCCATCTCAGACAGTGGCTTCTCATATTGCTAAACCAAAGTGATCAAAGACTGTTTAGACTTTCTCTTTGGGAGCCTGGGTCTTGCTCTTTTGCCCTGGCTGGAGTGCAGTGGTGCCATCTCGGCTCAATCCAACCTCAAAGTCCTGGGCTCAAGCCGTCCTCCCACCTCAGCCTCCTAAGGAGCTGGGATTATAGGCGTGTGCCATGGGGCCCAGCTGCTTCAGACTTTTTTTTTTTGAGATGGAGTCTTACTCTGCACTCTGTCAGCCAAGCTACAGTGGTGCCATCTCAGCTCACTGCAACCTCTGCCTCCTGGGTTCAAGCCATTCTCCCGCCTCAGCCTCCTGAGTAGCTGGGACAAAAGATGCACATCGCCTCGCCTGGCTAATTTTTTGTATTTTAGTAGAGTCAGAGTTTCACTGTGTTGCCCAGGCTGGTCTCAAACTCCTGAGCTCAGGCAATCCGCCTGCCTCGGCCTCCCAAAGTGCTACGATGACAGGCTTGAACCACTGCACCCTGGCCCAGACGTTTTTAAAGCTCAGATAAATGAATGTAAATATTCACTTACATAAATTATATTTATTTCCAAATAATCATGACTTTTGATGTCAATATACAGACATAATATTTAGATCCTTTTGAGAATTGTGCAAATTTGCATGTTGTTTCATAAACATGTATGTATATAAAACATATATGTATCAAAATGTATATACATAAAAAAGAATAAAAATGTATGTATTATGTAACATGACATTTAAGTACCTCCAAAATCCTCTTAAGAGCATCTACATAGTTCTTTTCACTGTCGACAACTGAACCCAGTATATATCTTCTTACAACCTGTTGGGAATTTGAAAGTACAGTGATAGAAAACGGCTTTACAATACACACAGATAAATCTTACTTCTGTGCTGAGGCTTGCTGAGAAATACCTGTATTTTAAAAACCAGTGCATAAAGGTAACCCTAATTAAATAACATTACAGGTACAAAACACACTTTGCCCATTAATACGACTGTATGACGTTTTATACCTGAAACTATAAACTATAACTACAGCAGGACAAATACAATTACAGCACTGAAAAGAAATTCCATCACTTATGCACTAAGAAACTACGTCAGCTGGTTGTATTTTACGTATCCAATATCTGAGTAGATGATATTTCATATGAAATAAGGATAAAAAATAGTTCCAGTCTTCATCAATGAATGTTATTAGCAACACTTATTTAAAATCCTTATTCCAAAGTTCCAGGAAAACAAAGTTTGTAGAATGTGGAGGGATCAATTATTTCTTTTTTCAACCATCCAAAGATCTACCTATGAGGCCAAATTACTCATGTCACTTAGTGGAGTAAAAAAAATCTCTATGATCTGAGATGTTTTCAATTAAAACCTGACATTATTTTCCGTTTTACTTTTCATCACCGAAGCACATACAAATACAGGCTTGTGGCTGTAAGATCCTATGACAGGCCAATGAGGATACCCGGCATTTTCCTCACTCTAAACACAGTCCAGCTAGTGATATCTACCAATTCATGAAAAACATAGCAAAACAGGGCAATGGAGTTGCTCCTAAACCAGCTGCACACTCACGCATATGAACACATGCACAGGGCATACCCCCCACACTCCCGCAGACACCACCTACATACATGCAAGATAACACACTCATGCATATGAACACATGCACGGGCACACCACAACACACACACACTCCTGCACACACCGCCCACATACATGCAAGATAACACACTCATGCATATGAACACATGCACAGGGCATACCCCTCCACACTCCCGCAGACACCACCTACATACATGCAAGATAACACACTCATGTGTATGAACACATGCACGGGCACACCACAACACACACACACTCCTGCACACACCACCCACATACATGCACAGTAACACACCCATGCGTATGAACACAGGCATGAGTACACCACACACACACGCCTGCACACACCACCCACATGCATGCACAACACACTCATGTATATGAACACATGTACAGGTACACCACACACACACACACACACCTGCACACACCACCCACATACATGCATAACACACTCATGCATATGAACACATGCACAGGGCATACCCCCCCACACTCCTGCAGACACCACCTACATACATGCAAGATAACACACTCATGTGTATGAACACATGCACGGGCACACCACAACACACACACACTCCTGCACACACCGCCCACATACATGCACAGTAACACACCCATGCGTATGAACACAGGCATGAGTACACCACACACACACACCTGCACACACCACCCACATGCATGCACAACACACTCATGTATATGAACACATGTACAGGTACACCACACACACACACCTGCACACACCACCCACATACATGCATAACACACTCATGCATATGAACACATGCACAGGGCATACCCCCCCACACTCCTGCAGACACCACCTACATACATGCAAGATAACACACTCATGTGTATGAACACATGCACGGGCACACCACAACACACACACACTCCTGCACACACCGCCCACGTACATGCACAGTAACACACCCATGCGTATGAACACAGGCATGAGTACACCACACACACACCTGCACACACCACCCACATGCATGCACAGTAACACACCCATGCGTATGAACACAGGCATGAGTACACCACACACACACACCTGCACACACCACCCACATGCATGCACAGTAACACACCCATGCGTATGAACACAGGCATGAGTACACCACACACACACACCTGCACACACCACCCACATGCATGCATAACACACTCATGCATATGAACACATGCACAGGTACACACCCCTGCACACACCATCCACATGCATGCACGATAACGCACTTATGTATATGAACACATGTACACACACACATACCCCGGCACACACCACCCACATATATGCATAACACACTCATGCATATGAACACATGCACAGGGCATACCGCCCCACACTCCTGCAGACACCACCTACATACATGGAAGATAACACACTCATGTGTATGAACACATGCACGGGCACACCACAACACACACACACACCTGCACACACCACCCACATACATGCATAACACACTCATGCATATGAACACATGCACGAGTACGCCGACCCCCACACCTGCACACACCACCCACATGCATGCACAACACACTCATGTATATGAACACATGTACAGGTACACCACACACACACACACACACACACACACCCCTGCACACACCACCCACATACATGCACGATAACACACTCATGCATATGAACACATGCACTAGTCCACCCCCCACACACTCACCTGCACACACCACCCATATACATGCAAGATAACACACTCATGCATATGAACACATGCACAGGTACACCACACACACCCCTGCACACACCATCCACATGCATGCACGATAACGCACTTATGTATATAAACACCTGTACAGGTACACCACACATACACACACACCCCTGCACACACCACCCACATACATGCAAGATAACACATATGCACACACATAAACACACCACATACATACACACAGACACACCACCGTATTAATCAGGCTATCTGCAGGCCTGGGTTATGCTATTTGAAGGGACCACATTGCCACCTAGCGGGCAAAGAGCATCTTTCACAAAGGAAATTTCTCCAGTTAAGAAGATTGCAGGACAACCAAGATCTCTACACAGCGTGATTAACAGGGAGATGATTCTCTTTAGAGAAAGAATTATTCCATTCGCAAAAGACAAAAATCAACCCTTCTAAAATACCCAAAAAAGAAACTGATATATTAAAACATGCAGATGTGGCTGGGATTAAACACACACACACACACACACACACACACACAGATACACACACACAACTAGAATCTGGGAAGCTGCAGCAGCTGCTGCTGACTGATTCACAGGAAACGTCAGAGCACAGAGGCTTCCCTTTCAAAGGAGAGCTTAGAACTCAAAGTCCAAGCACCCCCTCCCATCATCAAACCCAGGCCAGTCTTTGTTCTGAAATTCAGATTCCCAGACACTACCGCAAGGCTCCCGAGTCACAGTTGTGGGGTCAAACATAGGAATTTACTTGTGTATACATACGTATTATACACACACGTGCACACACACACACGCACAGTTTAAAATCCTGAGATGATAATATTGTAGTATCAGGTCAAAAGATCTAGAATAGGTATAATATCAAAATACAAAAACAAAACCAATCTCCCAGGTTTCTTGGCTACTGCATGTGATGTCAGTCTTTTTGGCGGCTCAACTGACAGATGGAATTGCATGCCCACTGAGGGGTGGGTCGGGAGCCTCCAGTGCTGACACTCTCCTTCTGAGAACCCTGACCTAAAGGTCACAGAGGAGAAATCCATCCTGAAGGGAGGCCTCACAGGGAGGGTTCCTGGCATGAAGGTCACAGGGTAACTACACAAAGCCAGGGCTGGAGGACGATCAGAGGGCGCCTGGACCTGAGCATGGAGAGCTGCAGATGGTGCCCGGGCCTGGCCCAGCCTGCCCTTCCTCATGTCCCCACCAGGAAGGGGGTCAGGACAGGATCCTCCGTCCTCCAGCATCAAGGGAACTTTCCAAGGAAAGGACAACGCTTCTGTATCTCAAAAAGAACATTTTCCTTTTTCTATCCCCAAATTAGGCATGCAAGGAAAGTTTAATATACAGCATCTAAGAGTTGTGTTTCCCTTAATGCAATTCTAGAGGAGAACAAGAGTTAGAGAGCATTAATCCCCGCCGTTTAACCTTTCAAGAGAAGACTCCCATGGACAACACTCGGAAGGAGGAAGTACATAATCGATGTGAACCATGACTGCAATAAAAAAAGCTGGATGGAAAAATAGGGAAATTCTAAACACTAGTAAGTTTCTCACCGTAATCCCAGCTATCCCCTGAGGACAGCACTGTGCTACCACCACCGAGTCCCTCACACACTTTACTGAACAGCGATCATGTGATGAGCAAGATGCAGGAAGGCATGAAAATCCACTCTTCAAACAAAAGGAAACAGAACATCAGAAATTACCTACTAAAGTCACCCAGACACTCAGAGGAAAACACTTAGGGTTTTCATCCAGATCCGAGACTAATTTGGGAAGCTTAACCCCTTTCCAGACACCATAAAACAATGAAAAACAGCCTGCAAATACTCACTGACCAACTGTGCCAAGATCAGTGCCCAACACAGGCATTCGCAAACGTGCCATCCACCAAAAAGGTACAACCAACTTTCCTGACATATGCCCACACCCGATTCATCACGACTCAGTCAGTCTGTCCTGACAGAACATCAAATCCTACCCAGGGTCTCCAGAGACTCTGTACCCCACTCAGAGCCTCCTCACAGACCCCTCAGATGCCGCTCAGCGCCTCCTCAGACCCTCGCCCCGCTCAGCGTCTCCCCGTGGACCGTCACCTCGCTCAGCGTCTGCTCATGGAGTCTCCCCCACTCAGGGCCTCACGTCCTCTCCCTGGCGCTCAGCCTGCCCCCTGCCCACTGGTTTGTAGCTCAGGCTGCTGTCTTGGCTGGGCCACATGTCCCTAGGTCTCCTGGCTCCTCCAGTCCTGAGTCACTTACACGCCTGCTGTGATTCCTATCTCATCCCTCGTCCACCAGGAAGCCGTGCCCCCCACCTCCCACTGCCAGTATCAGCAGCGTTTCCTCTGTGCTTTTCCCCGATTTTAGGATTTTTAGTTTCCGGCTTCCCCACTACACTAAATCCTCAGAGTGACGATCCAAGGCCCTCTCTCATGGTGCGTCCTCCCAGCACAGGCACCCTACATGTGGTTAGGGCCCCAAATAGGAGAGCACTGTCCAGGGCGTCATCCTATGGAGCGTCTCATCGGAATGGCAAGAAGTGTTCAGCCATGAAGCCCTTTTGTAACTGCTGAGTGTGCAGTGAGGTTGATGAGCCAGACAGCAGCACAGGAGAAAGTGCCGGATCGTTTTTTCCTGGTAAAGGCTGTGAGCCATCCCCCTGTGGCATGTGGCAGCCAGAATCCCACGGCCCCAGTGAGCACAGAGCGGGCAGGAGCAGGCTGTGATCGGGGAGACTGAAGGCAGACACGAGCCCTTCCTTGCGCAGCCAGAGGACGTGGTAGGCTGGTCGGCCTCCTCCGAGCCCAGGCTTCCTTACGGAATAAATAAGGACAGCGAGAGCAGCATCTGGGAGGATGAAGGGAAGAGGAACACAGCAGGGGCCTGCACGGGGCCTGCACGCATGAGCGACAGGCGCTCAACTGTCTCCCAAGCTCTGTTCGCACGTGTGAAGCTGCTGACAAAAGCACACTTCAGTAATCTCTGCTCAGTACGCGTCAAATGTAAAATGTAAGCCTTGTACTTCAGCCTGGCCAGTTACGAACAGCTCGCAGGTATCTCTCCTCATCTCTTTTTAAACTCTGGCTTTGTCACTAAGCAGTTCTATGTTGGTTTTCTTTAATCTGGCAATGCTCTGTCTTGCTCCATCTGCCTACGTGTATCAGGAATCTACCCAGATCCGTGATTACGCATGTGTCTGCCTATCCGTCCTGGTGTCCATGACTTGCAACCCGCTGCCCACGTGGGAAACAACTCCCATTATCCCAAAGCATCAGCCCCTGCTGCTAAGGGCCTGAAAACTCGGTGTATCACTCTGGTTCCTCAAGGTCTTCAAACTTGGTGTTAGCACTCTGGTTCCTCGAGTTTTCTCTTCTTTTTACCCAAAGACAAAGAAAAACTACTGATTTTTTTCCCTTTTGCTGCCAAGTACCACATTTTTAAGAAATGCATTAAATTCAGGTTTCATTAGTTATTGAAAATCTGTCCTTTTCAGTCTCAGGTAGCTACATACACACACTGACCTTACACACCCACACGCTGTCTCTGTAAAAGTCCAAACTGCTGTGACTGAGTCCCATGAAGAATGCAAGTTCCCCATTTCTCACAGGTACACTCAGGGGTGCTGTCCAAAATATTTCAGGACCAGAAGAGTCCCCCCAGACCCCTGCTGAGCCCAGCATTAAGCCAATAAGTGCTGAGCCAGGAGCCTACAGTGGAGGGCCTGAGTAGACGCAGAGTTTCAGACAGCAGATATTTACCAACCAGCATCAAACATGCAAATATCTAAAAACTAGCACAGCTCTGCTGGTAAACAGCACCCGAGTGTCAGCTCTGCTCATCTCACCTGCTGCTGAGACAAGCCCTCAGGCATCGGGGTCAAGATGGCTTCCGGGTGCTTGCAATCAACATCAATGAACACGTTCTGCTCCTCTTCAAGAGAAGATCTGTGATCTTAAAAGGAGTCAAAATGCACAGGTTTTACATTGAAATAAGACATTCAAAACACCATAGTACAGTATAACAAGCTGTCAAATACTTCACGTGGAGCTTTTAATTTTTAACAAATCCAATAAAATATTCTTTCCAGGGGAGGAAGGCAGCAGAACACACTGCCATGTGTGTACCTATGCAACTATCTTGCATGTTCTGCACATGTACCCCCAAAACCTAAAATGCAGTTAAAAATATATGGATATATTCTTTCCACAGGGTTCTACAGTCTTTGTCTACCTGTGGAAAGCACAGCCAGGCTCTATCCCGTGAGGAGGCTGGGATTTGGGGCTGTATTCACTGCCTCGAGGAGTATTTGAAACTTTCCGTGTTTGGAGTTTAACTTCAAAAGGGAGAGATGCCATTTGAATAGCTAGATAGTAAAATGGCAATATTTTGGAATTTTAATGTTTTAGAGTCTTTCATAAAGTAAGTATTTTAGTTCCTTAATCTATAACATATCACAATCAGAAACAAGGAAACAGCTAAGAATGGCTGAGAACAAATATTCAAAAGTCAGTGGAAACTGAGGCGGCACTTAGCACATTTCTCGTACCTCTCTCACTGGACGCCTTAAGAAGCACAGCCTTCCAAAACTCAAACAGTGTAAACAAAAACTAAACTCACAATCGGGCTTGGTGGCTCACTCCCCTAATCCCAGCACTTTGGGAGGCCGACATGGTAGAATTTCTTGAGTCTAGGAGCTCAATGCCAGCCTGGGCAACACAGCAAAACTCCATCTCTACAAAAAATTAAAAAATCAGCCAGGTGTGGTAGGGAATACCTGTTCACCTAGCTATACCTGTTCGGGAGGCTAAGGCAGAAGGATCACTTGAGCCCAGGACGTCAAGGCTACAGGGAGCTGTGGTCGTGCCACTGCACTCCAGCCTGGGTGACAGAGTGAGAACCTGTCTCTAAAAAACAAGAAAACACCTACATTCATTTTTTTTGGGGGGGGGTGGGGGGATGGAGTCTTACTCTTGTCGCCCAGGCTACAGTGCAATGACATGATCTCGGCCCACTGCAACCTCTACCTCCTGGGTCCAAGCGATCTCCTGCCTCAGCGTCCCAAGCAGCTGGGATTACAGATGCCCACCACCATGCCCAGCAAAGTTTTGTTTGTTTCTTTGTATTTTTGGTAGAATAGGGTTTCACCATGCTGGCCAGGCTGGTCTAGAACTCCTGACCTCAGGTGATCCACCTGCCTCGGCCTCCCAAAGTGCTGGGATTACAGGTATGAGCCACCACACCCGGCCTATGTTCATTTGTTAAAATACAGCATATGTTAAAATTCAGCTAACTACATTAAAGAATCCACAAAACGGCTAGAAATCAGAAAAGCACAAGAACTTTTAGGGGACAGAAAGCTGAATCTTTCTAGTTCAAAACATTTTCTAGTTCGAAATCCTGGCTGCACAGAAAAATCTCTAAGGGTCTTCAAAACGTACTGATGCCCAGAGTTTTTCCTCAGAAACCAACTGATGGGCCAGGGAAGGAGGACTTGGCACCAGTCCGTTTTAAAAGATTTCTAGTTAATTATTATGTACAAGTAGGACGAATAACACAAATTCTGTCCGAGCCTCTCATTTCATGCACAGGAAACTAAGGGTGGAGGGTTCGGGGATTTGCCTGCTAAACGGCTGCCTCTCTCCAGCCGATCCCCGAAGAGCACCTCCCCTACGTCGGAGACGAATCATGACCTTTCAGAGCCTGGATCAGGGCTTCTCAGACTGTCCCACACATCTAATCCCGGGGGACTTTGCCAGCCTGCAAATCCCGGCTCGCAGGCCTGGCACGGGACCCCGAGTGGGCAGCTCTGATCAGCTCCCGAAATCTGGGTCCCAGTCGGGAAGTTGCTGCTGGTGGGTGGACACACTCCTTGAGGCAGTGAATGCGGCCCCAAATACCAGCCTCCCAGCAGGACAGAGCCTGGCTGCGCTTTCCAGAGGCTGTGTAAATATGGCCGCCTCCTCAAAGGCTGTCCTTTGCTGTCCCGGGCACCTCAGGGCACTGCCATCAGGGCACAATATGACAACACATTTTATTAGAATGCACCTGTCTGTCTCCATAACCAGATCAACCCCTTGGGGATGCTGATAGCTTCCCCCACCTTGTCTGAGATGCCGAGGGCTTCCTGAGTTACAGCATGTTGTACCAATTACACACACACAGTATCCGAGGCCTGGCTTCAGGGAACCTATGTATGCAAAGTCCCTTCAAGCACAGACTTTAGCAAATGCTACCCGCACCCTACCAGCAGACAGGCACGTTAGAAAGCTGGAGACACAACCAAGAAACACCAGGTCAGAGTCACAGCAACCACTGCAGGACAGTGAACTCTCAACCACCCTCCTGTAACTCTGTCTTAGGACATCAGTGCACAAAGGCTCCAGAAGCTTCCTCAGACAGGGGATGACCGCATCCTACCGCCTGCTGCCACCATGCACGACACCTCCACAGCAACTGCCTTTTTCACACATAGCTGCACAGACCACTGCACCTTCATGAGATTCTTAGCAAAACCTGGAAAGTCAGCTATCATTCCAAATCCCCCCTCGCCAAGGAAAACGTGCCTGAAATCCCCATTCAGAACTCTCACAACCCCAGTCCCTGCGGGACCACGCCCAGGAGGGCTGGATGTGCTGTAAATAGGTCCACTGCCAAGAATACACAGTGACAGAGGCCCCTGGACCCCGAGGGGACTTGGGTGGAGCATGAGGTAAGGCCTGAAGGGGCACAGACCACCTGCTGCTGAGAGGGGATGGCAAAGAGCAGGGACACCTTGGCCACGAGAGCTTCCACTCGCCTGCGGCCAGCTGTGCAGCCCTTCCTACGGCCAGCCAGTGACTCTCAATGACACCTCTCTGCTGGGTGCCCTCGGCCTAAAACACCACCCCCACAGGACAGGGAGGCCAGGGTCAGCAGGGCTGAGCCAGACCTGAGCACTGAACAGGCTGGTGCTCCCCGAGGCTGTGGGAGCCTGCACAGCCGCCCCCCGACCCCATGTCCTCCCCACAAGAAGACCCACAGGCACGGACCCTGAGCGATGAGAGACTTAGTCCTGATGAACGAGCGGCCCCTCTTCACGGCCGCCCTGGTCCTTTCAAGCCCGTCCTTGGTCCCATCCTTCGCAGCCTTCACGAGCTTCTGCATCTGCGACGGAGAGGGAGATGTGAGAACGGGGTGGCGGCAGAACCCACCTGCTGCTTTAACTGGCCTCTTTTAAAAGAATACTGTCAAGTAGCCTGGTTCTTGTGCGCATATGTGTCACGTGCGGTTCTGGGCTAGTTTGGCTTTTGTTTTGTTTGTTGGAAAAAACTGACGTTAAAAGCACAGCCCTTCCTGGACGTGGTTAAAAATGTCCCCTGCTCCGTGTACGGTATTATATGTGATCCACTCACATGGAGCTACGTGGAGGTCGCAGGTGAGTCACTAATGTGCATAAATGTGAAACGGCTCACCTGAAATTAAATGACTCCCAGCTCCAGTCCAGCCTTTCCACCTTCTCCTCGGGGCTTCCCACCGTACCCCATGTTGGGGCCAGGCCAGCTACTGACAGGGCCACTTCACACACGTGGTCACACGGACCCAGGCCCAGCCACGGGCTGAATGCAAGGCCCCGGCAAGTGCCGCAGACATGCACGGACGCACCTGAGGGAGGGTCGGGATGCGGCACGCTGCAAATGTCAGACGTGGAGGCCACATCCCCCTGGGCTGGGATCCCTGCCTCCACTTCCTCAGCCAGAGCCGTGCTGGATGCTCCCGACTGCCTGGATTCAGGGGTGTCTGAGCCGTCTCTTGCCATCTGATTTCTTATTCCTTAAAAACCCAACAACTGAGGTAATGGCCACTGGATGCTGAGTGATTTGTCTTTTAAAGAAAACCTCTTTAAAAGATGACCTCTTAAGAAATAACCAACGTCCCCGTCCCAAAGACCTCTCAAGGGACCAGCAGTGTAGCTAAGAATGGGACTCCCTTCACTCTGGGTCACTCACCAGCACCAAGTGAGCAGGGCTGCTGGGCGCCGGCGTGCAGACAGTGTCGCTGTACCCCTGGTCACGTCTGCCTGCCCTTGACTTCCAAACGCCTGAAGGCTGCCTTCCCATGAACACCACGCAGCATGCCTGGCCTCACACCCGTGTCGACGGCCCCAGCCCACCTCCATCGCTTGCAATGCTGTACCCCATGAATGGTGCTACATCATGACCCCCCAGGCTCTCCCACTCCTGCGTCTCCCAACTCCACAAAGGACCGTGTCCTGCTGCCGTTTCTCAGCCCATGTGGCCCAGGTCCGCTGCCTCCTGCCCAGTGCCGCAGAGAGCCGTGGCGCCCGCCTGTGCATCTCTTACTACACCGCTTGTCCACATCCTGCTCTTTCTAAACCGCGGATCTGGGCTGTGAAGCCTTGGTTTTCAGCCAGCCCCCTCAGGGTCGCCGAACAGAGGATCAGAGAACTGCAAGCTGACAGACGGGAACATGACCATGCTCCTTGAGCCTCATGTCCATGCAGAGCGGGTAAGACCCCGGAGTTCCGGGTCACACCCTCGGCCAGGTCTCCTGGCTGTCAGGGCTGACAAGGGCTGCTCCCACGAGGGGAAGTGCGTATGCTTCCCCGCCTCCCACAGTGCCCTCACCTGCTTCGGCCCCAGTACTCCCTGTGCCGGTGAAAATCTGCAAACGCAGCCCACACACCCCTCCCACGGCTTTGATAGTCTCCTCTGCTCCTCGGACACCCCACCATGCTGCCCGCTATCCCAGAACCCTGACGCCTCAGGCAAATCTGATCAGATGCCCTGCCAGGGGGCCAGCTGGATGCTGGATGTGAGGGGCAACGTGGCTCCCGGGGGCAGCCGGGGCACAACACGGTGGATGAACCGGCTGTTCCAGGAGTGGGGAGCCCGCATCCCTTTCCAGTGAGTGCCATTCAACACACAGGAACAACCACGAATACCGGCAGGATAAAAGATGAAACTGCAGGAAAAAGTACTTGACAGTACCCTTTTAAAACACACCTTGCAGAACAGACCCTCACCACATTCACGTCGGCAGTTCTCAAACGTTCCGGTCTCAGGGGTCCTGGACGCTCTTAAAAATTATTGAGAGCCCAAATGGCTTTCGTTTACCTGGGCTTTACGTGTCAATATTCATTGCATTTGAAGTTAAAACTCTGAAAAAATTTGGATATTTTTATAAACGTTCATTTAAAAAATAATCAACCTATTACATGTTATTTTAAATAACATCGATGAAAAATTGCCGTATTTTCCAAAACAAACAGGCATTGTTGTGCATTTCTGGAAACCGCTCTTATGTAGACAGCCTGACGGCGTTCCCCCAGCTGTGAGGCCACAGGCTGCGCGGCCTCCAGGATGTTCCTGGCCCCCTGTGAAAGGAGGAGAGTGAAAAGGCACAGAGCATCTCAGAGTCCGCGTGAGCCCCAAAGCGTCGGGGGATTCCGGAAGCCCCTGGACCATGGATTCCGGAAGCCCCTGGACCATGGATTCCGAAAGCCCCTGGACCATGGATTCCGAAAGCCCCTGGACCATGGATTCCGGAAGCCCCTGGACCATGGATTCCGGAAGCCCCTGGACCATCGTTTGAGAACTGCTGTTCAGACAGCAAGGACTGACCAAGCCACGTGGTTTTTCTTTACTGCCCGCCCGGCGAGTGGGGCCAGCAGCCGGGGGCGAGACTCTACCTTCAGTTCATGCTTCTGCCTGAGCTGCTGAATCTCCACCGCGCCCACCGTGCTTGCCATCAAATCTCTCATCTTTTTCTCATAGTGCTCCTTTAAACGGGTTAGGTCATGAGAAAGCTACAGCATAAAGAGACACAGTCTTTTCACAAAAAGGCTCTTTCTGTTTTTTTGGGACAATTTTACATTGAAAGGATTCCGCCAGCATCTGCCGTGGCACATCAGGCCTCTCCTGGCTGGGGGTTCCTGGGGCCACACACGAGAGCCCTGATTACTAGCCCAGCTGGTCCTTAAGAGAGAAACCCGCAAATAGTTGGCCAGGTGTAGTGGCTCACGCCTCTAATCCCAGCACTTCGGGAGGCCGAGGTGGGAGGATCACTTGAGCTCGGGAGTTCAAGATGAGCCTGGGCAACATGGTGAAACCCTGTCTCTACTAAAAATACAAAAGCTAGTCAGGTAGGGTAGTGCACGCCTGTGGTCCCAGCTACTTAGGAGGCCACGGCGGGAGGCTTACTTGAGCCTGAGTGGTGGAGACTGCAGTGAGCCGTGATGCTGCCACTGCACTCTAGCCTGGGCGACAGAGTAGGGCCCTGTCTCAAAAAAATTGAAAAAAAGGAGATAAATACAGAAATGAGTTAAACATGGCATCAATGGCATCAAAAGACAGACACGATCCAGACACCAGACTGCCGCCTTCTCCGTGCCAGACAGGAGCAAATGCACGCATATGAAATATCCGTGAAATCCTTCGCTTACGTTGTGGTGGAATCAAAATTATGAAATGTATAAAATATACATAAAATTCTTCTTGTATGTCAGCATCCAAACAAAAGATACTTGTATTTAAGCTACACTGAAGGTGACATATTTTGAGGATAGCAGCATGGATTTTCAACAGTCTCCGTCCTGAGGTCACTTTCTCTCGAACCGATGGACTGGGCCCCCTGGATCCTTCTCCCTGTGGTCACAGACACTTCAGATGCTCACGGCTGAGGCGCCATTGCTCCTCTGGGGGCACTCCTCGTGTCACAGACACTTTAGGAAGTTTTTAATAAAATTTGCGACTTTTTGAGATGATTTCTGAACAGACGGTTTCATTTTGGTCATTTTTAAATTGTGACCGTTTAAACTAGAAAACTTGGTACTGCCTGCAGCACTTCCATCCTGGACAGGTGCCCTGTCTGCACCCCACATGCTATTCCCACCCCCAGTCCAGGCCACTGTCCCGGCAACATGGAGGCGCAAGAAAGGCTGGAAATGCAGAGCCCCGCGTTCCCGGATCGTCATCCTGCACCACAAACCCACTGTGTGCTGGGTCTCCCTGGCTCCTTCTCCCAGCAGGGAGGGCTGCTGAGCCATCGGCACCGCCTGGGCAGTCAAGCACTCCTCTGGGATACGGATCTGCTCCAAGGCAAGGGCAGGCTCTCCTGAGTTGCTACCAAGGAATGACTACTAATTCCTTTCAGCAGCCGGGCCCTCTGCCCACAGCCCAAAGGCAAAACCAAAGAGCATTTAACCCACACTCCAAGGCACACAGAGCCCAGCATTCTTCTTAAATCTCAGTTTAAATCAAGTATCTGACTCAGCTACAGTAAGTTAAATATCATCTTAGTTATCAGCTTTGTTAAAAACTACAACTGCAGGCTGGGTATGGTGGCTCACGCCTGTAATCCCAGCACTTCGGGAGGCTGAGGTGCGTGGATCATGAGATCAGGAGTTTGAACCAAGCCTGGCCAATATGGTAAAACCCCATCTCTACTAAAAATACAAAAGTGAGTGAGGCACGGTGGTGCACACCTGTAGTCCTGGGTACTTGGGAGTCTGAAGCAGGAAAATTGCTTGAACCCGGGAGGTGGAGGTTGCAGTGAGCCAAGATCACACCACTGCACTCCAGCCTGGGTGACAGAGCAAGATGCCATCTCAACAAAAATAAACAAACAAAAAAACCCTACAATTGCAGTTTCACTGGTTGTTTAAATTGCAGTTGTAATAATGACGGTAACACAAAAGATCCAAGTTCCTGAGAGATCTTGTGAATGATACTGGGGAGGTGAGCTGACCGCCATGAACTGGTGGGTTCTCCTTGAGTTTTACAAAGCAGGTCCACAGGATATGAGAATTGTAGGCAACCCATAATCACTTGTAAACCAAAAGGATGTGGCAGCTATGTCCAGGAATGAAATCTCTGCTTACTGGGGGTTACTAGAAGACAGGCAAGATAAAACCAGTCATCACCAACTGTCACTATGGTGGCGTCCAGTCACCATCTGTATCAGTAACACGGGACTGGCCCGCCTCAGACAAGGACTGCATGTGGCTTCCCTCTCAGCCTCACACAGAAGGTACACAGACGTCACTGTCAATGAGCACAAAGCTCTCCTTTTGCAAAGAGTCAGGAAAAACTCTAACAACAAAAAGCATGTGGCATGGCTGTCACCACCAAGACCTGGCACGTGCCTCAGCTGAACGGTTCCCAGGTTCCATGCTTCACAACACCGAATTCCAGAATTCACACCTTAGAGCTCCGACGTTCCATCTTGCACCCTAACCTCAAGACTTTTACACACACAAAAAAAAAGGGAATAAAAATTCCCTTTAAGAAAAGAGTATCAGGCTGGGCATACAGGGTGGCTCACGCCTGTAATCCCAGCACTTTGAGAGACTGAGGTGGGCAGATCACCTGAGGTCAGGAGTTCGAGACCAGCCTGGCCAACATGGTGAAACCCCGTCTCTCCTTAAAGTACAAAAATTAGCTGGGCGCCGTGGCGGGTACCTGTAATCCCAGCTACTTGGGAGGCTGAAGCAGGAGAATCACTTGAACCCAGGAGGCAGAGACTGCAGTGGACTGAGATCACACCACTGCACTCCAGCCTGGGAGACAGCAAGACTCCATCTCAAAAAAAAGAAAAAGAAAAAGAAAAAAGAAAGGATTGGCACAGAGTGGCTTAGAAGCTTTTGTCCCTTAACATCTTCTATTTTTACACCTTCCTTTAGCATGCTAAACATGCTGAGGTTCAAAACCTCACTTAAAACAAAGTGTAGCTGTGCCCCGTCTCAGGGAATCCCGCCATCTATTCAGTGTTCTGCAGTTGACCATGCAGGAACGCTGCTGCGTGCAAAGCACATAGTGCATTAAAACACAAGCAAGCCAGAGAGTAACCACTTTCTTAAAGTATCCAAGGTAGTGAGCTCACTTAAAATCCTTTAAGTGACTTACGGAAGTTTAATTTCCACATTCTTCTATGACAGTTCTCACTGTGTGAAACTAGAGACGCTTCTGCTTTGGCAATATCTTATGCTTTCCCCAAATCACGGACCAGCATCTTAACAAAGCACTATTAAGCACCAGGCGGATCGCAATCGTGTTCACAGCCCCCAGGCACGTTCACGCGACAGCCCTGTCCCTCACACGCGGAAGGAGCACATACTTGCTTTTTGTGGTTGCTGCGGAGGAAGGACCTGGGAATCCCATTCTTGCATTCCGAGTCACTCTGCTCTTCGTAACTTTCAAATTCACTCGAGCTCCAGCCGTATTCCAAAGAGCTGTTTCCACCTTCATCCCCATTCTCAACATCATCATAAATCATTTCATCTGAGTGCATAAATTCCAAAATAAAATGAAAACTTTAGAATTCCATGGGGCCTGTTTATGATTTTACCAAATCATCTAGAGCTGGGGGTGGAAGCAAATCTGAACCATGCTGAGGACCCTGCAGAGCCCTGGGGCGTGCTCCACGGAGGGCGCTGTCACTCAGAGCCCCAGGGCGTGCTCCACGGAGGGCGCTGTCACTCAGAGCCCTGAGGCGTGCTCCACGGAGGGCGCTGTCACTCAGAGCCCCGGGCGTGCTCCGCAGAAGGCACTGTGCAGAGCCTCCACCACCCAGGCAGTGCCAAGGCGGCTAGGGAAAAGCGCTTCAAATGTTCCTCACAAATGCCCCCGCCCCATTGGTACCCTGAGGATCACCTGGCTATGGGCATCCATCAGCCATAGAGAACTTCCCATGAAGAAAAATCTTCCTTTATATAAACACACATTCTGGAATGACCTGCTTAAAGGACGTGTATATGACCTTCAAGTCAATCACACTGCGTTCCTGTTCCAGTTTATGGCTCACTGATTTTTTTTTTTTTTCAAATAGACTTTTGCTTTTGTTTCCCAGGTTGGAGTACAATGGTGCAATCTTAGCTCACTGGAACCTCTGCCTCCCAGGTTCAAGTGACTCTCCTGCCTCAGCCTCCCAAGTAACTGGGATTATAGGCACCTGCCACCACACCTGGGTAATTTTTTTTTTTTGAGACGGAGTTTTGCTCTTGTTACCCAGGCTGGAGTGCAATGGCGCGATCTCGGCTCACCGCAACCTCCGCCTCCTGGGTTCAGGCAATTCTCCTGCCTCAGCCTCCCGAGTAGCTGGGATTACAGGCGCGTGCCACCGTGCCCAGCTAATTTTTGTGTTTTTAGTAGAGACGGGGTTTCACCATGTTGACCAGGCTGGTTTTAAACTCCTGACCTCAAGTGATCCACCCGCCTCGGCCTCCCAAAGTGTTGGAATTACAGGCTTGAGCCACCACACCCAGCTGGTTTACTGATTTTATGTCTAGGATCCATCAATAGTAGAGAGAATTTTCTTAAAATCTCTCACCCCAATAGTGTATTTACATATTTCTAATTAAGCCTTGTCATATTTTGTTATATTTTGCTTATATATTTTAAGGCTATGCTGTTAGGTCCATATGAGTTTAAAACTGCTATGTGTCTTCCTGTGAATTATTCCTTGTTTTATGGCTCCACATTTAACATATTATCATATTTATACTGACAATACTTTGGTTAGAATTTGCATTTTATTTCTTTTTCCATCCATTTACTTACAAATTTTCTCTTTTATGTATGCCTCATAAGAATGTACATCTAGCTTTGCTATTTTATCCCATCTGAGGGTTTCTTTTACTGGCCATTGGATCCAATTTACCGTACGTCCCAAATGTTGGTGCTTATTTTGCAGTCTTTTCTCATATGATTTGCAAAGCTTTCTCATTTTATATTTTCTTGACTTTACCAGATGGGAGTTGCTCTACTGGTTTCAAAGTTAAATAGTCTAATCCTATTCTCTTAGCAGTTACCCATAAAATGCCAACTTGACCAATCATAGCAAAAAATAAATAAATAAATAAATCAGTCACTGTATCTTCTCCCTGAAAAACTGCCCTCCCCTACAGTCGGCTCTGGTGGGGGTTTGGCTCCATCTGAAACGCAGTCAGTGTCATCAGTGCTGTCCCAACAGTGCGGCAGCGACTTTCCGCGTGCCCGTCCCTTCCCGGCTCCCCACTCCTTCCTGCCTCCCACTACGTCCTGCTTGGTCCAGTGTGTTCTTCCCTGCAGCACATCACTGACTACGTGCAGTGAGTCTCCCCGGCTCTGCCTTACGCTGCCTGTCTCCCTTTGTAAAGGACTGCACTCTGCTGTATGTGACAGTCCAGGCTAATAGGGCCATTTCCTTCTTCACTTTGGGAACCCACCCCCAGCCTGCGGGTGAGTCGAATCTGGGTTTCTTCGCAGGAACCGGGTTTTCACTCTAGTTGCTCTAAGGAGATTCACTGTGGGCTTGGTGCTCTGCGGTCTCCACTGTATGGGCCTAGGTATGCATCGATGGATAATTCATCTTGCTTTGAATCTGTGCTTCTAAAATCTGAGAACTTATGTTTTTCTTTCATTGTAGAGAATTCTCAGTAGTTCTTTCTTTGAATATTACCTTCGCCTGATTCTCTATGTCTTCTCGTTGATGGCATTTATTCAAATACGGCGCTACTTCTCAGCCTCCATGTTTCCTACCTCTTCGCTGACATTTTCTGTATATTTAACTCCTCTGCTTGCTTGGGATAAGTAAGATAACTGCCCTATTTCGAGTGTTATAAACATATATACTTAGGTGCACAAACACCAATATTCCACCACACATCAATAAGCCATTCTAGAAGCAACACAAAACACGAATACAGAAAACGACGGGGCCATCCACTAAATAGTCACTTTTGCATCCAGAGGGAAAGGCTGCTGAGCTGAATCTCCTCAGATCAATTCCAGACAAAATCAAACCTGGTTCAGAGTCTGAGTTTTCCCTTGGAACGTCATCATAAATTGCTTCTTCGGGATCTGTAATAAACGGGGAGAAACACTTTAAACAGTGACCAACAGTGTAAACCTAGCGCAATTTAAATGTCATAGGGCCACAGTCGCCAATGACGTCACGATCATTAGAAAAGCTGGTTTATAAGAGTCGTTTTTTTAAATTTTTTTTTACTCTTGTTCTTTTCCCTCACCAGTAGACAACAAGGGCTGTAGTTAGTTAACATCATTCTCAGCAAACTGACACAAGAACAGAAAATGAAATACCGCATATTCTCACTCATAGGCGGGTGATGAAAAATGAGAACACATGGACACAGGGAGGGGAGTACCAAACACTGGGGTCTATTGTGGGGAAAAGGGGAGGGCCAGTGGGGGGGGGAGCTGGGGAGGAATAGCCTGGAGAGAAATGTCAGATGCGGGTGAAGGGGAGGAAGGAAGCAAAACACACTGCCATGTGTGTACCTACGCAACTGTCTTGCATGTTCTGCTCATGTACCCCAAAACCTAAAATGCAATAAAAAATTAAAAAAAAAAAAAAACTCTTCAAGGAAAGTTAAAAAAAAAAAAAAAAAGCACCTCACCAAAGCATAAGCATTATTTTTAGGGCAGTATAATTTGTTGGGAGTGAAGGACGTCGCTTTAAATGGACCAGTTGTAAAATGTCACTAGTAAGGAGTTTTAGGGTTTCCAGGCCAATCTTGTTGCATGATTTTGTGTTCAATTATACATTTCTAATTGGCTCTCTTACAAATATTTTAAGCTTATGAAGTTAATCTGTTCTGATGCAGAGAAAATACAAAGGTGGCACACAGAAATTCCAGAAATAAGAAAAAGAGCCCACCAGTGCTGGAAAAAATGGAAAAACCATCCAAATCAACCAATGACACCATAATTTTGTGCCCTGGAAGGTAAAAAGTATCCACATGCAAGTATCAAAACACTAAACCTACATACAGGAGGGTGTCTCAGTCTGCGGCATGTGCAACGCTGCGGTTCTGTGAAAGTATCAAAACACTAAACCTACATACAGGACGGTGTCTCAGTCTGCAGCATGTGCAACGCTGCGGTTCTGTGAAAGCATCAAAACACTAAACCTACATACAGGAGGGTGTCTCAGTCTGCGGAATGTGCAACGCTGCGGTTCTGTGAAAGTATCAAAACACTAAACCTACATACAGAAGTGTCTCTCAGTCTGCGGAATGTGCAACGCTGCGGTTCTGTGAAAGCATCAAAACACTAAACCTACATACAGGAGTGTCTCTCAGTCTGCGGAATGTGCAACGCTGCGGTTCTGTGAAAGTATCAAAACACTAAACCTACATACAGGAGTGTGTCTCAGTCTGCGGCATGTGCAACGCTGCGGTTCTGTGAAAGTATCAAAACACTAAACCTACATACAGGAGTGTGTCTCAGTCTGCAGCATGTGCAACGCTGCGGTTCTGTGAAAGCATCAAAACACTAAACCTACATACAGGAGTGTGTCTCAGTCTGCGGCATGTGCAACGCTGCGGTTCTGTGAAAGCATCAAAACACTAAACCTACATACAGGACGGTGTCTCAGTCTGCAGCATGTGCAACGCTGCGGTTCTGTGAAAGCATCAAAACACTAAACCTACATACAGGACGGTGTCTCAGTCTGCGGCATGTGCAACGCTGCGGTTCTGTGAAAGTCAAAACACTAAACCTACATACAGGACGGTGTCTCAGTCTGCGGCATGTGCAACGCTGCGGTTCTGTGAAAGTCAAAACACTAAACCTACATACAGGACGGTGTCTCAGTCTGCGGCATGTGCAACGCTGCGGTTCTGTGAAAGTCAAAACACTAAACCTACATACAGGAGTGTGTCTCAGTCTGCGGCATGTGCAACGCTGCGGTTCTGTGAAAGCATCAAAACACTAAACCTACATACAGGACGGTGTCTCAGTCTGCGGCATGTGCAACGCTGCGGTTCTGTGAAAGTATCAAAACACTAAACCTACATACAGGACGGTGTCTCAGTCTGCGGCATGTGCAACGCTGAGATTCTGTGAAAGTATCAAAACACTAAACCAACATACAGGACGGTGTCTCAGTCTGCGGCATGTGCAACGCTGAGATTCTGTGAAAGCATCAAAACACTAAACCAACATACAGGACGGTGTCTCAGTCTGCGGCATGTGCAACGCTGCGGTTCTGTGAAAGCATCAAAACACTAAACCTACATACAGGACGGTGTCTCAGTCTGCGGCATGTGCAACGCTGCGGTTCTGTGAAAGCAGAACCATTTCATAAAAAAGGAGGGAGGTTCTGTGTGCAAAACCTGCTGCATGAGATCACCACACAGGGCATCAGCAATGAGCCTGAGGTTTCCTCAGATACCCGTAAGAGTTACACACTCCACATGAAACTCCACCTCAGAAAACAACCTTTAAATCGAAGTTACACTCATGGACTCATGGTGCCCTCCGTGCAAGAGAACGTCCAAAGTACAATGTATGACTATGTCGATAACATACAGGCAGCTGCTTCCTACGTGTCAGAAAGAAATTGAGATCAATAAACCCAAACTCTCCCCTGACATCCAGCCACTGCTCCTGTTCCCATGCTACCAGGGAAATACAAATTCAGGAAAATTCCTTCTCAATATTTACAGATGCCCTTTCTTGGAACAGCATTTACTAGCGGCAACCACAGTGAAGATTTCTACTCCTCTTAGATAATACGGAGGGTCTGCTAGTTTAGAGGTCATGTTTCCAAATACAGTTATTCTAACTCACTGTCATCTGGGGAATAAAGATGAGTAATGAGAAAAAAAATCAGACAAATTTGACTTTGGAAGTAAAATGGCCAGCAAACAGCCACGACAATAATTTAATCCGGTAACGATCCGCTTTATCAGCCACGCAGCAGAATCATCGGATTACACGTAGATCTTTGTTTTGTCAGAGTCGTAATTAAAACCAGAAAACTTCCAGGAGACAGTTTAATAATCAGGAGGTAACAAAGACGGCTCTACCTTGAAAGTTGATCCTATAAATCAGTTACACAGAAATTCGTGAGCCAGTGGATGATGAGAGTCATAAACAGGAAAGGAAACTTTACTTCTCCTTTAAAAATTAAAACACGAGTAAATCTAGCTAAAAATCTTTCAGCCTCTGAAACCGCAGGTGGGACAACGGATCTGGCCACTTGGAGGTGGGCTGGCTCCACCCACAAAAGGGATGAAGAAGGACTTTAGGTTGCGTCTTAATCGTACAGAAGCTTCATCTATGTGTTGCAAGTGCACTACTTTCATTCCTCACACAAAGACGGCAATAATCCCACAGGTTTAAACGCACAGACAAACACAGTCTGGAATTCTCTGCCCTACTGTTTACACTGCAGATTGCTGTGATCTCCAGGAGTGATGCTATGAATAAAATGACGCTCTTCAGGATGTTCCCTATTTTCAAAATCTGAACATGAATCATTCACATGAACAAAAATTGTTGTTTTTATAAATATACGTGTCTAGTCTGTCCTTTAGGTAATAGTTCTCTTATGTAAGCTATGATATTAATAAACTCGTTGCCAGTTAGCTTTTAAAGCACACTCGTTTAAGCCACATTTGTTTTGCAAAAATATGTTACAGAATATTTTTTAAGTTACAAATAAATGAGATTCTATTAAATGTTTTGGAATCTGTTGTTTCTGCCAAAGGTAAATTAACAAAAGATTTATTCAGGAATCCCCATTTGAATACTTACGATTCAACAAAAGAAAACACCAAGTTATGTAAAATAAATTATGTATTGGAAAAAAAAGGGGGCCCACCCGCCCCCTCGTCAAAATGGGAGCCAGACACCACATCTCCCCGGCAGTCGCAGGGAAGCGGAGGGTAGGCATCTGGGTGGTGGCCAACCGTGGCTGCAGGTCAGAGTTTCTGTTCCCCACAAATCTAACTATTACCACAACAGCAAAGCCTGTGCCAGAAAGGAACCACCAGGAACAGTGCATGCCTGCATGTGGGGAGCTGGGATGGTCTCGGGAGCCAGAAAGGAACCACCAGGAACAATGCATGCCTGCATGTGGGGAGCTGGGATGGTCTCAGGAGCCAGAAAGCAACCACCAGGAACAGCGCATGCCTGCATGTGGGGAGCTGGGATGGTCTCAGGAGCTAGAAAGAAACACCAGGAACAGCGCATGCCTGCATGTGGGGAGCTGGGATGGTCTCAGGAGCCAGAAAGAAACCACCAGGAACAGCACATGCCTGCATGTGGGGAGCTGGGATGGTCTCAGGAGCCAGAAAGAAACACCAGGAACAGCGCATGCCTGCATGTGGGGAGCTGGGATGGTCTCAGGAGCCAGAAAGAAACACCAGGAACAGTGCATGCCTGCATGTGGGGAGCTGGGATGGTCTCGGGAGCCAGAAAGAAACCACCAGGAACAGTGCATGCCTGCATGTGGGGAGCTGGGATGGTCTCAGGAGCCAGAAAGAAACACCAGGAACAGCGCATGCCTGCATGTGGGGAGCTGGGATGGTCTCAGGAGCCAGAAAGAAACACCAGGAACAGCGCATGCCTGCATGTGGGGAGCTGGGATGGTCTCGGGAGAAGTGACGGCCTCAGGAAGCCCTGGGAAACCTCTGCATAGGCAGCCCATGTTAGTTTCAGTAAACGAACATCTTTCTAGAGTTTGAGATCTGATGAGACAGGAGAGCCAGGGTCCCAGCCCTGCCGCAGTGGTGCCTGCGGAGTGTGGTGAGGACTCTGGCTGTGGGTGGCCAGGGCACTTACTCTCCATCCAGGCTGTGTTGGCTGGGTCTGCAGCCCAGCGGGCCAGGGCGCTGTCCTCTCGACTGACGTGATCTTCACTTAAAGAAAACAAACCATAAAGTCAGAATATCCAGACACAGCCCAGTCACTAGGCTGCCAACTGCCCTGCAGACTGTGTGTGTGTGAATATATATGTCTGTTACTACACAGAGAATCGCATATTTTCCCAGCTTTTGTCATAATCATAGGACAACCCAAGTTCAAGTTTTCACTCATAACTCTGTAAATAAGTACTCCAGACACACGCCCTACACACGGCACAGAACACGGGATGAGGGGAATACAGGAGCGATTGGGCCCGCACCCCAGAAGGCCTGAACTGTCTTCCAGTTTTCAGCCACCCCTCTGAGGGTCTCTCAGGCCCTGCTCACGACGCTGGGTGGCAATGGGCCCTCTCCACATCCAGGAGCAGGTCAGTGGGAGGAAGAGATGCAAGGCCAGCCAGCATAAACGATGGTGCTCTGTCCACAGCAGGTGGTAACGTGGGCCACGCCAGAGTCCCACACTCAGGGACTGGGATGTCACCCTTGGCACTGGGAAGCCGTGGGAATGCTCCACTTAGAAGGATGATGAGGTCACACTCCCTGCACACACTGAGCGTTGCCCCATGAGAGCACCACTGCTGACAAAAGAAACATAGCAGGGATCAGGCCTCTCCACGCTGTGTCCTGCGGAGAGCTGGGCAAGGATGAGCCCAGTGGCAGCGCAGATACTGCTGGGAAGGCAGAGACTGGGAGCGGGCGAGCACCCAGAGATGGGCACAGAAGGCCCTGGAAAACACTAAGGGAAGAGTCGCTCACATGCAATCACGGGACAATCCGTGAAGAGCACCCCACGAGGGTGACTTGTCAAGCAAAAGCTCTAACAGGTCCCGAGGTACCTACAGGACTTTCAGGGTGAGAGAAGAGAGCCTGTGTCCTGGTGATGGCTCCATGGTGCTGGGGGACGCCCCATGTGCGACGCTGTGCACATGTGGAATTAGGATGTGGTCCCGTGAGAGCCTGTGTCCTGGTGACAGCCCCGTGGGTGCCAGGGGATGCCCCGTGTGCTGTGCTGTGCACATGTGGAATTAGGATGTGGTCCCGTGAGAGCCTGTGTCCTGGTGACAGCCCCGTGGGTGCCAGGGGATGCCCCGTGTGCTGTGCTGTGCACGTGTAGAATTAAGATGTGGTACCCCGCTCCAAGAACATATCAATATGGAGTATTCTTGCACTTTTAAAGTTTAAAATTATACCAAAACAAAAACTTACCTAGAAAGGTAAAAGAAAATCTGAAGCAAATAGACACAGTATTTTAAACTATTCACAAATGTTTGAAAATTTTTCACATTCGAAAAAGTTCATCCTTTTGAAAGTAATTTAAGGTTTTCATCACACTACATTTTATATTCATTTTCTTCAAAATAATTCCGTTTTTTTTAATGGACACATTTTTCACAATACATTTTAGACTGTCAGTGATAACTCACCACCACTAATATTTAATTTTATATAAAATCTGCAATTTCTAACGGAGAACCCTGGCTGGACCTACCTGGTGGCACAACTCTGTGGGATTCACTCCAGAGCCCACCCCGGTGCCTTGCGTCTGAGGAGAGAGCACTGGTCGAGTGGCAGCTGCTCCCCAGAGACCCCACCCGCCTGCAGGGGATTTCAAAGGGACACCTTCCCCTGCAGAGGCCACCTTTGTGACAGAAAGGAGAAAGGAAACGAGGGAAGCAACCGCAGGTGGAGGACAAGGGCCAAGCCTGGCTGACACAGCTGGACGCCTGAAGTAAGACCCAGTTCTCAGACCCCACCCCACTCTTCCTGACCCTGTGTGTCCAGGGGACACTCGCCTGCGAGGGACCTGAGGCAGGAGATGGGGCCGGGACCGCCCCCACCCCAGCAGAGTGGAGGATGTTGGGCAGGGATGTAGGCCAGGATCCCCTATATCCCCCGTGTCCAGCTCCTCAGGAGGAAGGCAGGAATTCAGCACGTGCGGGAAGACGGATGCAGATACCTGTTTGGAGGCTCCTCGGAACTCAGAGAATCGAGCGGGCGATCTTCTGTGCCTTCCGGCGTCTCTGCTGGGAGAGTGAGGGAGTGACACTGCTTTATGCCTGACGAAGCTGCTGAGGAAGCTGACGTTCTTACCCTTCAAAATGATTTCACACTTTGCTTCCTTATCAGTCGAGGCTTATCTTAGCATAAGGATGATTAATACTCTCTAAAATGTGTCTTAGATGAAATGTATTTGAGATAGGAATGTAGTAAAATGTGATCTACCAAGGGCTTGTCAAACAGCTGGAAATAAATCGTACCTGTGCCCAAATGCATCAGGCTAGAGTTAGAAAGAAACAGGATGTTCCCTCCCATTCCGCACGTCCATAGGAGCCACAGCTGTGACCTGCCTGACGGGGCATCCACCTGTCACCCTCAAAAGACGTTCAAGGGAGGAGTAGTTAAGCTTGTGACATGTGACACCAGCTTGTACTCGCACACACCCACACCCCTCCACACACAAACACGCACGGTCTGGCCTGACTGGCCATTTCTTCCTGCCCGCTTGGAGATCTCATCCATGAAAACCGGCCCCCGGTCACAACGGGTGCCGCCACACAGCTGATGACAACTAGCAACAGCCACGAGGCACCCGGAGTGGGCTCTGCAGGCAGTGCCGTGAATCCCACAGGCCTCACTGGCTCAGTGCTGCAGGCCACCTTCCTGAGGGCCCAGGGTGGGCTCTGTCGGGGGCAGCGCCATGAATCCCACAGGCCTCACTGGCTCAGTGCTGCAGGCCACCTTCCTGAGGGCCCAGGGTGGGCTCCGTCGGGGGCAGCGCCGTGAATCCCACAGGCCTCACTGGCTCAGTGCTGCAGGCCACCTTCCTGAGGGGCTCTCCAGGGTAAACGGAGAGCTGCGAGCGAGGCCGAAGTGCGGGCTTCCCACACACTCCGTGCAGGTGAGGTACGAACTTAGAGGCTTGAAGAATAGCTGAGGCGCCAGTGCAGAAGCAGGAGGCCCTCCCACCTCATAGGGCTTCTGGCCGGGAGCCAGCCAGCATCTGTGATGACTGCCCTGTGTGGGCCATGTGATCCCCTGATGAATTCTGCCACCGTCCAGCCTCGTGGCACCAAGAATGATGTGGGGAAGGAGAGCCGGCGGCACTCAGAGGCTGCTGTTCATCACCACACCGGCAGCTTCCACAAAACACCCTCTGAGGGGAACTTATCTTCGGGGTGAGCAGCAGTTCCCAACCATATTCAAACAGCAGCAGGTGGTTCACAACTCCGAGAGCTGAGCTCGGCATCACCTGCTTGGAGATCTCACCCGTGAAAAGTGCCCCCTGGCACACTGGGTGCCGCCACACAGCTGGATGGCAAACAGCAACAGACACGAGGTGCCCAGGGTTGGCTCTGTAGGCAGCGCTGTGAGTTCCACAGGCCTCGCTGGTTCAGTGTTGCAGGCCCTCTTCCTGAAGGCCAGGTGTCAAGGCAGAGGCAGAGCCAAGATCTGAAATCCAGTCCGCCCGCTCCAAAACCCGCTCTTCCCACGCTACCACACTGCCTCAAAGAAACACCCAAAGAGCTGAAAAGCTTTCACTAATGTTCCACAGAGGTGCAAAGGCAGGACGGGCTGCCCGGGAGCAATCTCGCTGCACAGTGAGAACTGTCCCTGCCACGGGGGGTCCAGAGCACACGAGTGGCCAGCAGAGCACAGACTCCCATCCCCAGAGCACACACATGAGTCTTCTCATGGCCCCATCCCAGGAAACTCTTCTTTCCTCCTTCCTCCAGGAAATGAAGACCCTGGAAACTGAGGGTCCGTCACAGTCAGAAGGAGGTGGACACGCTCGCCAGGGAGCTGCATGGGCTGCTCAAGCAGCAGCGCACCCAGGGCTTCTGGCCGCAGGAGGCCCATGAGGAAAAACAAGCGCAGGACCTGCGTGCAGACGTTTTTCAGAGCTGGTTTCAGTCGGCAGGAAAAACAGCTGGATCTGGCCATCCCCCCTTGGCCAGCCGTGAGCTCCAGGCAGTGCTCTGCAAACTCCCACCAGGGGCCTGGGGAGCCCTGCAGAGCCAGGTGGCCACCAGAGCCAGGGAGGCTTCGGAGCAAGGAACTGAAAGGCCAGCGACGCCACCAGGCAGGAAGTGGGGGCCAGGCTTGGGGCCAGGCCTGACACCAAATCCATGCTTTTTCACCCCTCAGGAAGGTGGTCTGCATTCACGCCTCTTTTTCACTGATCAAAACGCAACCACAGAACCACCTGCTCCTCCACACCCGGACTTAAAATAGACTTCATTAGAACCAGGCATTGTTACTGGCTCTAAGCTGACAAAACAAAAATAAGAAAATTGTCTTAAATCCATGCTATTTTAAAGAATAAATTACTTTAAATGATGTGCAACTATTTTAAATAATCAAATAATGTGTTTAAAATAGGAAAATCACTTTAAAATAAATGTATTTTTCCTCAGCCAGGAAGCCCGGACTCTGCACTCCCTCCTTTCCGGGGGGTCCTCACTCTGCGGCCACAGAGTGAGAACAGCAGTGGGGACCACGCAGACCTGGCGAGTTGTCAGGACTCCAGCTGACCCCAACAGGAAAACGCGCAGAGGGCATCTAGCCTGAAATCTCCGCGGTTCCCAAAATCCAAAATCTACATTTTCCTCTAAGGGCTTGTTTCTCTTGTTACTAACTGGAAAGAGAAGAGTGCTTCCACTGAGACCTTCACCGGGGAAAGCAGCTTCTCGGACACAGAGGCTGTGCACTTCCATCAGGGGAACACCTCACCAGCCCCGGGAAACCTGCAGCCCGTTCCCGGGAAAGGCAGCATAGAAACAGACCTGGGCACAAAGGAAAACCTTGGCCGCAATGCCTCGACTGGCCACTTCTGCAGACAAAGGCACAGTCCATGCTCACCCTCGCACTGGCGCCTGGGCCTGTGCGGGGGGCAGGAGGTCCCAGCCCTTGGGCTGCAGTCAGGGCAGCTGTGGCCTGCACCTCTCCTTCCAGTGGAAACCCGGGGCTCTGCAGACACAGCCGGCGCCCGATCACACATGCCGGGGCCACGTTAAGGACAGCAGGGAACAGGCTCCAACAACCAAGCCCTTCCAAAGCACATGGCAGCGGCTCCTCACTAAGTGGAGGAGAAAGCAGACTCGAAACGGAGCTGTCAGCACTGAGGACACGGAGATCGGAGGTGAGTGAGGTGCCCACAAGGGCACCCACAGTCCAGGCTCAGAGCATGGCCTGGCTGCAGGGAACCCGTCCTCAGCAGCCGACTCTGCACCCTTTGTGCTTCCCCAGGTGGCTCCGACCTTCCACGGAGCCACGCTTAAGTCCCTGGGAATCTCCCCCCGAGGTCCCTGGGCATCTCTCCAGTGAGGAAAAGCATCGGTGGGAGACGGGGAGCCCCTGAGGCAATTCTCCCACCCCTACCACCCCTTCCACCCCCACCACCCTTTCATCCCCTGCAGCCCCTCCCACCCACTCCCCACCGCCCCCGAGCCCTTCCATCTCCCCCACCACCTCTCACCACCCCCACCACCCCTCCACCCACCCCCACCACCCCTCCCACACCCCTGCCCCCAACACACCCCCACACCCCTCCATCCCCCGCCACTCCTCCATCCTCCACCACCCCTCCCACCCCCACCATCCTTCCATCCCCGTAGTCCCCTCCCACCCATCCCCTGCTGCCCCCTCAGTCCCCCAGCCCCTCCATCTCCCCCACCACCTCTCTCACCACCCCCCACCACCCCTCCACCCACCCCCGCCACCCCTCCCACACCCCTGCCCCCAACACACCCCCACACCCCTCCATCCCCCGCCACTCCTCCATCCTCCACCACCCCTCCCACCCCCACCATCCTTCCATCCCCGTAGTCCCCTCCCACCCATCCCCTGCTGCCCCCTCAGTCCCCCAGCCCCTCCATCTCCCCCACCACCTCTCTCACCAGCCCCCACCACCCCTCCACCCACCACCGCTGCCCCTCCCACACCCCTGCCCCCAAAACACACCCACACCCCTCCATCCCCCGCCACCCCTCCATCCCCCACCACCCCACCCAGCCCCACTGCCCCTCCATCCTCTGGCAAGAATACAGCAAGACACCAGCTCTGACTGCAATCTGGAGTTTCCGGACCAGTGGGTGACAGGAGACACACGTAATGATAACTGGCATCTAGCACACTATGTGATCAAGGCCCAAAACCACACAAGCTCTCCTGAGCACCTACTGGGGGAATCAGAAATCAGGGTGAAGTTCAAGGCATCCCAGACACAAGGGGGCAAAACATTGGGGACCAGATGTTGTTTCAAAATTTCCAAACGCTACACCCTGGCCTTTCCTCAGTGGTGTTCCCGTCACTGAAGAAGATGAACTGGGGGCTCATTTTCCAGTTCAAACAAACACCCACTGACCTGGGGAGGCCGGAGGGAAGGTCAGGCCCAGACCCTACAGAACCTCAGGCCACTTTGGGGGCATGGAGAGGAGGACAATGGTACCTTCTTCATCCAGGGATGTGGTTCGGATGATGACTGGGCTAGAGTAGGCGGGCAGCAGGAGGGGCAGGTTGGAGGGCACTGCATAGCCACAGGGCACAGGCACCGAGTACCCACAAGGCACATGGAGACCCACATTCTCCTCCTCATTGCCAGGCGTGGGGGCAGGTGGCTGGTCCTCCTGAAATGGCGTGATGTCGATGACAGAATACGGGTTGACTTTCAGTGGGAGCACCAGCTTAGCAGGCTCGGCCACTGGGGTGGTTTCTGCTCCAGCTCCGTCCTCACCTCCTGGGGATTCGGAAAGGACTTGTCAGCAGACATATCACCAAGGGCGTGGCAGGTGTGCCCTCCGGGAGCGCAGGCAGGAAGCAGGTAATGAACTCCCAGCCTCCATTCCATGCCAGTCCCCTGGATAGTCCCACATCATCAGGTGGGTCTCGGAGGGAGTGCTCACACATGGGGAACCCAGCATCACCTCTGGGCACAGGTGAGGCAGATGCAGCTTGGCCACTGCAGGAGACTCATCCCATGAGCTGAGTCAGGGAGAAGCTTCTGGAGGAGGGGCCGCTCCCCCACCAAAAGGTGGGTGCTGCACACAAACGCCGTGCAGGCCGGGAGGCAGGTGCCCCGCATGAAGAAACAATGTGCAAGCTCTCCCACCACAGCCTGCCCTGAACAGTCCCTCTGGTTAGCGAACAAAAGCACCCAACCCACCTCGAGACTCAGAAAGATAAACCTCTATAGCTACTTCACCCCAAATGTTCTGAATACTTCATTTAATCTAGTGATACAATGATCAGGTCATTTTTACTGGGAATAGCAATGCCTTTTCTCTACAAAATTGAAGGGGAGTGAAGAGGTTGAAAATTATGGAAAGTGGTACAAAGAAAAGAAGCTTAGCCAATCCTGATCAAGTCATTTCAGGTACATCATGAAGAAATCCTAACTCTCTGGCTCCTAGAAGCCCTCCTTTCCCTACAATGTTCCAATTGAGCAATAAGAACGGGGAGAAAAATCAGTGAGCCCGAATGAGCCCAATGGCTGGGCGCAGGTGACCCTGACACTGGCAATCTGCGGACCCACCTGGGAACCCACCAGGGAACTCACTTGGGGATCCACCTGGGGCCTCACTTGGGGACCCTTCTGGAGACTCACCTGAGGCCTCAGCAGCGGGTGCAGGGGCTTCACCAGCTCCAGCACCTCCTGTCTCAGGGGTGGAGGGAGCCTGCCTGTCCGCTTCTGGGATTTCATCTCCACTGTCAAAATCGAACTGTTCTCCCTCTTCCTCTTCATTATTATTAGAATCATATTTCGCTTCACTTTCTAAAGAGAAAAACCAAAATCAGAACAAGGAGATATATATGTGTGTGAGCGCACACACACACGCGGGCACACACACACACATACACACACACGCGGGCACACACACACATGGGCACACACACACGCATACACACACACGCGGGCACACACACGCGTACACACACACGCGCACACACACACGTTAGCCAGAGACGTTGACTAAGTCCCACCATGCTGTACTGCGCTTGTAGTTAGACTTTTTAAGGGACAAAACATGTATCATTAGAATTCTGAGTCACTGTTTTTTATTTTCTTTTAATGGGATCTACAACTCACAGTTAGAAAAGAAAACAAGAGGCCAGAAAAAGCAGTGGCTCATGCCTGTAAACCCAGCATTTTGGGAGGCCGAGGAGGGCAGATCACGAGGTCAGGAGTTTGAGACCAGCCTGGCCAACATGGTGAAACCCCATCTGTACTAAAAATACAAAAATTAGCTGGGTCTGGAGGTGAGCACCTGTAATCTCAGCTACTCGGGAGTAGGAGGCAGGAGAATCACGTGAACACGGGAGGCAGAGCTTGCAGTGAGCCAAGATTGTGCCACTGCACTACAGCCTGGGTAACAGAGCAACTCTGTCTCAGAAAAAAAAAAAAAAAAAAAAAAAAAAACAAGAAAAAGGAAGGGGAAAGAAAGAGCGTTTCTCATTTTAAATACATGCACCCAGCAGATGAACATCACCAGCTGGGCTGATGGCTGGGAAGAGAATTCAGTACCATACACTTTAATTTTAGAAACGACTCTGATACCCACTTTCTCCCTAGAATTCTTCTCCTTTCATCTTGCCTCTTTTATTTATAAATTTTAATTAAATATCTCTAATGGTTAGAAAATATGAACAGCAATACATAGCTTAAAATACATACTTCCATAATTACTAAAGAGCATAGTTAATAACTGTTCCAAGTCAGTATTATAAGAAACATTTTGCAGGAGGTGAGTTACAACTCTCCTTGGAGCTGGGCTGATGGCTGGTGGGGCAGTCTGCAGGGTGACTGCAGCATGCATCATCTGTGGAGACAGAGCGCTGGGACTGCGCCCCACCATCAGAGCAGACAGGCACTTCTCCTTTTTCCAGAGGAGACCCATGTGCTAGGACGACACCCCACACACACCCAGGAGCAAGAGGAGCCCAGCCCCTGCCAGCCTTTCCCGAGGGCCAGAACTTCTTCCCAGCACACGTTCCTGAGGACGCTGCCTGCTGCCTCCCACCACACCCTGCAGTCCACAGAAGCACGTGGCACCTCAGGACAGGGCCTGGGTCAGCCCGATCTAAGCCCCTCAGAGACAGACATTCTCCTGTGCCCCAGGGAGAGGCGCCTGGCCAGGACAGCCCAGCTCAGCTTCGGGCAGCTCTGAAGGGGGAGCCCTGCTCACGAGGAACCCACAGACACGACCCACTTCTGCTCCAGCCAGTCTTCGGGCACACTCCACCCGGGCCTCCCTGGGAACACGAATGGTCTACAATCAACCTTTCAACGTGACGCGCTTCACTTTCCTCTGGACTCCTAAACTAGTCATACATTCTACGAGCGCCTTTTGAAGGAAACAGACTTTTAGATCACCACGAGTAAGCAGAGGGGCCCAGGTCCGCAACAGCGTGAAGTTTTTTTTTTTTTTTTTTTTTACGGAGTTTCGCTCTTGTTACCCAGGCTGGAGTGCAACGGCGCGATCTCAGCTCACCGCAACCTCCGCCTCCTGGGTTCAGGCAATTCTCCTGCCTCAGCCTCCTGAGTAGCTGGGATTACAGGCACGCGCCACCATGCCCAGCTAATTTTTGTATTTTTAGTAGAGATGGGGTTTCACCATGTTGACCAGGATGGTCTCGATCTCTTGACCTCGTGAGCCACCGCACCCAGCCAACAGCGTGAATTTGATCCAGCTTTCCCTGTAAGGACAGTGCAGATGGGACCCCGAGCTAACCATGACACCTGGGGGGCCCCTCAAGCTTTCTGAAACTGCTTCTACCAACACTCACAAGTTTTAAAACTAAGAGAATAACAAATATTGAAATTGAATCAAGAAAAAGGATTCAGAAACGTGTTATTTTTAAAGCATGCATCTGAAGAGTGTGTGTTGGTGTCCTTCTGGATGGTGAACTCCACTCTGCCCAGATACCAACGCCGCGTCCACTTCCTAGAAGGTCAAAGACTTCTCCAAATTCAGTTCTCAGTTTAAGCCTAACCAAGTACAGCAAGCGAAGGGCGGGGAGAACCACGAACTTCCAGAGTTTGAACCTTGATTAACCCTGTCCTTTCTAACCATTTCTCACTGTCTCCCAAGCCGCAGTCAACAATGCCTGTTTCCGAAGGGTTTGTCTGCCATGTCATTAGCAGTCCGTTTACTGAAATAAAATGAACACCTTTTAAAGTAAAAGTTTAACAAAAAATAAAACTGTTTTCTGGAATATTTTCCAAATGCAACTATCATCTCCCTAGAATTTATGTTTGGGGAGAAAAGAATCGCATTTTCCAATAAACATAATGGGGAAGCAATGCCAACTAAATACCCTGACAGAAACGATGGGTAAAAATGCTTATGTATCGCTGGGCACAGCGGTTCACACCTGTAGTCCCAGCACTTTGAGAGGCCAAGACGGGCTCATTGCTGGAGCCCAGGAATTCGAGACCAGCCTGGACAACAGAGTGAAACCCCCTCTCTTAAAATTAAAAAAAAAAGGTACAAAAATTATCCTGGCGTGAAGGTGTGGACCTGTGGTTGCAGCTACTCTGAAGGCTGAGGTGGGAGGATCACTTGAAGCCAGGAGGCGGAAGTTGCAATGAGCTGAGACTGCAGCCTGGGGGACAGAGCAATACCGTGCCCCCCAACCCCCAAACCGTGTATGTTTTGACCTAGCAACATAAGAGGTCACTGCTGGGTGCATGTTCAGATTCATCCGGACGGTGACACATCACATTAGAGTTTTACTCTGTCAACACTTTTTTGGAGGTTATATTTTACTACTACTGAACTCTATCAGTTAGATAAAATACACCTAGAAATGACTCTCTTAAAAACTGTTTTTAAAAAGCTTAACAACGTCCGGTACAAAACAGGGTCTTAAATATCTGCAAGGGGAGAAGCACAAGCTGCTGGGCCCTGAACTCACACTGTATTCCAAACAGGAAGAAGGAGTTCTCTTAACAGTGTTCAGGAAGGAAGGCAGCGGCCAGGAGCCCACGTGTTCAGGAAATGGCCCTCAGCAGACACTGGGGCCCCTCCACTCCCTCCCCATACACCGCCTCCTGGGCTGTGACACAGCCCTGGGGGGACCTGTGAGATTCCCAGGGACAGTGCGTGTTTGCTCCCGTGTACCAGGTACCATCCTGAGAAGAACAGCATGCCTTCCTGGAGCCGACACCTCTGCTCGCCACGCCGCCCAGTGCACACAAAACCTGGTAGGCGGCAATGTGTGACACGCTCGTCATGTGAGCAAATGAATGACTGCATACAGGCAGATGAACAAGCTTCCAACCTTTTTTTTTTTTTTTTTGCCAAAAGAACTCACTTTTCCCCCAGTAAAACTTAAAGTAGAATTATACTACGCAAGGGAAACAACAGCAATCCAGAAATTTCTCCAAAAGTTCAAACTTGTTAGTTTAGACTTGGAGAGCCTTGGAAACGCCTTGGGGCTTGGAATTCAAGAGATCTCTGCAGTCACCGAGAGACTGGCCAACGCTGTGGCGGAGCTGCCCTCCGTCCTCTGCAAACACTGGATGGAAAGACTTTCAAGGTTACATAGATGTGCATTACAGATTCCAGTAAGAAAAAAACAGCCTTCCACAAGAACTCAAAGAGGGAAGTTGCACTTAGTGTAACCACCTGAGGCTGTACCCCAGGCTAGGTGGGTGTCCCCAGGACAGCAGGCAAGGCCACCCGGGGCTGGGCTGCTCCTCCCTGACACCCATGTCCAACGGGGCATCCACCGGATGGTGAGGCTGCGCCACCGTCTGTGTTGAGCATGGAGCGGGGCGTTCAAGGCGGTGTGTGCTGAGCACTTCTTCCCAGACGCTACCTCGGGTCCTGGGGATCCCGGGCCTCACAGACCCCACCCGAGCTCCTCAGGTCCTTTCGTGAAGAGCAACGCAGAATGTCTTGTAAAATCCCAGCATTTCGGGTCCTAAGTTTAGCCCTGACAGGTTCAACTGTGGCCCCTAAATCCCTGTGCTGAAGTCCTCACCCCCACCCCAAGGGTCATCTCATCTACAAATACGTGACTGCAGGTGCAGTTGGTTAAGGAGGCTGGGCTAGCGCAGGCTGGGCTAACCCAGCATGGCGGCGTCTTCGTGAGAGCAGAGGCCAGCACAGGGAGGAGGAGCCACCTGGCAGCGCAGGTGCAGAACTCCCAGGAGTGCCCACAGCCAGTGGGTGCGGAAGAGGCGAGGAAGGCTATGACCTACACTCTAGCCTCCAGAACTCTGTGAGAATCAATGCCTGTGACCAAAGCTGCCAGCCCGGGGTCCTCCACCCTGCAGCCCAGGAGGCCACCTTCATGAGCTCAGCCAACCACTTCCACCACAAAGGGCCCTGTGCCATCCTCAGGGCCATGGCAGGAGCTGGGTGAGCTGGTGCCGGGTCAGTTCCCGTGACACTGTGCTCGCAGCCACAGGAGGAGCTTCCCGCTCCTTGAAAGCCCAGGTTCAGAGCTGAGCCATTCAGCTGAATGAGAACACTGACGGGAAACACCACAATGTGCAAACTAGAGAACGTGCTCAAGCACTGCTGAAAGCATCTCGGGATACAACGTGTTGTAGTTTGAGACAACATGGATAATTCAGAAAAGAAAATGACGACCGGTGGGGAATCTGCAGTGTGGCCATCATTCGGTGGACACACCTCGGCCCAGTGTTCTCTGCCCGCTGGCTCCTGTGGAGCCCAGGGGATGGGCGGGAAGGGCCCAGGACCAGGGGTAGGCAGCGAGGCAGGGAAGCAGGGAAGGGCTGGGGCAGGGCTGCAGCAGGGGAGA